CGTATATGTACGCAGTCCTGAAAGAGGTACTACTGCGTATATGTACGAGCCACATTTATTGAGTAGCAAAGACCACACAAAGTAGATCATGGTTCCAAAAACTGTTTATACAGGTGCCAAGGGTGATGTGGGATTCCTCTCTGTAATGCTGTCAATACCACTGGTTAATAAAGAAGCTACTTTGGGCCTATTGCAGGGCAGAATAGGGCAAGATGGGAATTCCAAGCAGATAGAGGAGAGAGTAGGCAGAGTCAGAGAGATGCCATGTAGCTGCCAAAGGAGACAGATACCCTGGAACCTTACCGGTAAAACCACAAGCCTTGTGGTAAAATATAAAATAATAGAAATGGATTAACTTAAGATGTAAGACCTAGCTAGAAATACACTTAAGCTATTGGCCAAACAGTATTGTGAATAATATAGTTTCTGTGTGATTATTTCAGATCTGAGCGGCTGGGAACGAACAAACGGCCTCCACCAGCACAAGGGTAACATAGAAATTCGTAGATTCCATGGGATTTAATATTGAAGAAGTATCAAATTATGCAGAAATACCCTGTATTTGCCAGAAACATGTGAAGTAGCAATCAATGTGCTGCTCGGTTTTAAGTCTGGATAGTGTCAACATTCCTTTCCACACACCCTAGCTATTTCATTTTTAAAGATTTATTTTATGTATGCTAGTGCTGTCTCTGCATGTATACCTGCACACCAGAAGACGGTATCCCATTTCACTACAGATGGTTGTGAGCCACCATATGGGTGCTGGGAATTAAACTCAGGACCTCTGGAAGAGCAGCCGGTGCTCTTAACCTGTGAGCCATCTCTCCAGCACCCACACTCTAGCTTTAGAAGCCGAGTCTCTGACATTGCTGTGACATAAATCAAGTGCTCTGTAAAAGCAAATATGAGGTGGGAAATCAGCTTGTTCGATGTGATCCCAAAGCTCAAGAAGCTATGCTTTGGTCAACAGTCACATATCCTGTAGGTAACTAAGATGTTTGAAAATAAACAGAACATTTTAACTAAGATATACTATGATGAATGGCTACTAGATATATTAGGACATAAATACTCACTAGGTATGTCCTTTGGCCTAGGAAATGTTATAGAGGAAAGTGTTCAGGGTGCTACGACCTGAGACATACAGAGCCTCTGGTGTAGCCAGAGCTTTCACAGTGACCTGTATAGGCTCCTGCCCTACTTCCACTTTCCCGGTGGTGTGAATTACAACTATGGGTAGCTAGCTCAGCTGCTTGCACGACTGACAACACTCTCAGAGCTGCCGTGAAAACACGAGTATCACACACACAGGTTCCGCAGGCAACAGCTAGAGGAACACTCAGTGCCACCACCAATGTCACTACGACTGCTGCAATGAGTCTTAAACATGGTTCTGAAAGCCAGCAGTTTCCAGTACAAGAGAGGAAGGAGCAGCTGGTGAGGCAGAAGATACGCTGACTCCAAGGTATCCACTGGGGCACTGTTGACTATATTAACCACTCCTACAGAAAAATCGCTTTCCATATTCTTACATATTTTACAAATTTTGCATAATAAAATCCCTCATTTCTAAGTGGTTTTGGTGTTAAAATGACAAGAATTTTAGAAATTTTAGATGTATATAAAACATCCCTTCTAATACATAAAATCTTCTGTTTACAAAACACAAATACTCCAGGTACACATAGTAAGAACCTTCTATGTCATTACCAGATCTAAGGCTCTCGGCACATAAGCCCAAGATGCTAACACTGCTTCTCACAAGTTTGCAAGAGGGCAAAGCACACAGACCAGAACGAACATTCTGCTAATTAAACCGAAACCAATGATTATGAAAGAGAAAGACTTGTCACATGTAACATCTGTGCCAAGAATGATCAGATTAAATATGCAAAATGTAAGGTAAAGTTGTAAAAAAGCAGTATGATGATACTCAAGACCTTAAATAGGCTACACAAGTTCTGACAGTTTTCCTAATTATTCCCAGTAATAGACACAGGAGGCCAAAAGGCAGGAGAGAGAAATACATTTTTCTCCATTATGAGTCTTGAACATTAGGTCTAAAATCATGCCTGTCTGAACACTGATCAGTTTCTGCAAAGGTTAATAGCAATTAAATGCAGCAAACTATATTAAATGAGAAACAGGTCATGATACCACTGTACTTGCAAAGAGCACGATAAAACCATTTCCTTGAAATTTATCTTAGTGCCCAGGAAAGAGCTGCTATGAAATAAAGGAGTCCCACCCCTACCCCCCAAAAGGGCTGCTCTAAGGAATCTATTCACTAAATGATGAAAAAAAAAAAAACCTTAAAAATCATCTTTTAGCCAGGCGTGGTGGTGCATGCTTCTAATCCCAGCACTCAGATGCAGAAGCAGGTGGGTCTCTCCGTGAGTTCAAGGCCAGTCTGGTATGCAAATCGAGTTCCAAGACAAGCCAATGTTGTTACACAGAGAAAAACTACCTCAAAAAAAAAAAAAAAAAAAAAAGGAAAGGAAAGGAAAGAAAAAAAAAACAATCTTTTAGCCAGGCATGGTGTCACATACCTTTAGTCCCAAAATTGGGAAGAGGCAGGAGAATTTCTGTGAGTTGGAGTCCAGCCTGGTCTACATTGTGAGTTCCATAACAGCCAGGACTATGTAAAGAGACCCTGTCTCCAAAAAATAAATAAATAAAATAAAAAATAAAAAGTGATTATACCATATAATCTAATTTAATTATCATCATTTTTTCATTGCTGTCAGAATAAGAAATGCCACAAAAATATTAAGGATGTTTAAGAAGCGAATGTTTCAAACAAAACAAAACAAAAAACAAAAAGAAAGCTATTATATGAACTATATGATAAAGATATTAAAATTTACCTTAAAATTTACAGGCTATAAATATTAAACTAAAATGCAGTACTACGTTTTGCATATCATCTTTACATCTTAACACTTTGTTTCTTCTAGGCCGGCAGAGCCACAAACAAAAGATTTGTAGAAAGTTACTTAGGAAGTAATAATTAGGATTAAACTGATAATTGACATTCTAATCAACCTCTGAACTTTAGAATAAAGTGTTAAATCTGAAAATACACACACACTAATTGGGTTTTCAAATGCAGATTATAGAAAGAAAGAAAGAGAGAGAGAGAGGGAGGGAGGGAGGGAGGGAGGGAGGGAGGGAGGGAGGGAGGAAGGGAGGAAGAAAGAGAACCAAAAAACCAAGCCGGCAATCACATGAAAAGGAAAATTCCTAGTCTTTCCACACACACCCTTAACACTCCACCTAAGGCTTAGAAGCACGAGAGCAAGCAGGCTCAAACAATGAAAACTCAATTTACTCTGCTATCCTCGGGGTCTTCTAAACCATCCGGCCGGCTAAGGTTTCGAGCAGGCTGGCTACAGACAACATTGTCTTCCCAAGATACGACTCGCACTGGTGGCCTTTGGATTTCTTCTGGATAAAAAGCACCATCTGCTCCATCTGTAATAAGAATTATGGAACGAACATTTAGGGTAAAAAAAATCGGATGAAACCATTTCTTGAAATTAGCTCCTCTGTATGTAGACACAGTGATTAGAAAAGCAAGCAGGAACTCAGGGTGTCACTCAGGGACAACACGTTTTCCTGGAGCAAGAAGGCCTGGGATTCTCAGCACTACAGAAGAGGAGCAGCTGCTGAAGCCACTTGGGCACAGAAGCACATACCAGCCTGGGCTACAGAGCAAGACCCTTAGGTCTCTTTTATTTCTAACCCAGAAGTCTAAAAACTGGGCCTATGATAAGCAATCAGGACTGCTCATTCATGACACGTCACTTGTAGATGATGTCAGGAGCAGTATACCCATCAGCTCTCTAATTCCAAAACTCTTTAAGCCAGCTAATCCCAAGCAAACAAATACTTGAATAACCTCGCGTTTCCTGTGCCGTGTAAGGGTTGCCATACTGCAGAACTGGCTGTGCATTTGGCAGTGTAGGAAGAAGCCCATTTTGTTCAGAGCATGTGTTGAGACATCTCGAGGCCTGTTGGGAACTCTGATCTTCCACTTTTCTTCCTTTTTGATCTTCTAAACTTCTTTTAAGTTCCTAAAATTAACAAAACAAAGATGAATAAACAAAGCAGCAAAATATTCTATGAAGGCAGCATTGAACAATCAGCCCAAATACAGCACTGGCATCTCCCTAGTACGTTCTAGGTGCACTTGTGGGGAGGCTGCACATACCTCTTAAATGCTCTTCTTACATTCAACAAAATCAGATTTCAGGACAAAGCCCAATGTATGTCCAAAAGTACTTGTTATTCAACTAACTTAGGGGAAACTATGAACCTCTTACTACTTACCTATCAACAACATTTTAGTATAAAAAAGTCAGCCCCTTTACTAAAAAAAACTATCAAACATTTAAAATGTATTTTAAAATGTGAAACTAGTGACAGACATGCCAGCTTACAACTATCCTGCTGCTGAGGAGGTGAAGACCGAGGATCAAGAGTTCAAGGTGATCTTAAGCTACACAGTAAGTTGAAGGCTAGCCTGGGCTATATTGACTGTCTCCAAACAAAAATACACATACACGTTAATCTTGTATAGTTTTGTTTTTTTTTAAATATAAAGGAAGAAACATTTCCCAACAATACTAGACTAGCGTTCAATCGAGCAAGGCACTAGGGAGACAGCTCGGAAGTTTAAGTGTCTGTCAGCAACCACGAGGGTTGGAGTTCAGGGCCACAGAACCACAGTCAGGTGGATCAGGCACAAGGACCAGCTGTGAGAGGTGGGGGATTCCTAGAGGAAAGGCAGTTAGCTAGGGAAGCTAGCCATATGTATTCTGGAGCCATTCAGGATTTCTGGTATCTACCTTGAGCCTCCACATGCACATGTATTTGTACCTGGATAGACATTTGTGTGCGTATGTGCACACATGCAAGAATATCACAAAAAACTACAGACCACAGCCTTTATAAACACTGGTGCAAAATCCTAATTAGCAAATCAAATCCAGTATTTAAAAAAAAACCTAGAGTTTAACCACAAAAGTTATAGTCTTTAAAAAAATTTAAAAAGAATAACATTATCTTTTAAAAAATAATATTTCAGTACTATGTAGAAAATTCGAAATTTGTTCAGTGTTTTTTAAAAAATCCAGCAAGATAGAATAAAAATAATTTAACTTGAAAATATTCTTATAGAAACCTATAAAAATATAAGATAAAAATCAATGATTCTACTGTAGATGAAACAAAGGACTCTGCAGTTCTCTCTAATTCTCTTCAACATAACTAGTGACTAAGACAAGATTAAGGCAGAGACTAGACAGGAAATAAACCTGTCTGTCTGTATTCAGATGACAGAACTGAACACGTAGAAAGAACCTACAGCAGAGAAGCTAGAAGAATGAGTGAATTTAAGCAGGTTACACGATACAAAGCTGACATATACATCAATTATGTGATTCTTATATATAAGAAACAAAGATGAAAAGTTTGATTCTATCTAGAATGAAATCAATGAGAAAATGCATAGGAAGTATGTTAGCAAAAGCTGTACTCATTAAGAATATGACTGATTACAGACAGTCCAAGTGGAGATAAGTACACCAAGTATGCATACAGAAATCATTTTCACACTGATAGCTTCTCTCTTACTACAGAGACAATGAAATCCTAATTAACAATCCCAATAGGCTTCTACATAAATTGACAAAATGATTATAAAATGGAAGTTTAAGTGTCTTAAACTGCCAATATTTAAAAACAACACCCCAGCATTTGGATGGCAGAGGATCCCAAAATTGAGGATAGCCTGAGATACAAAGTGAATTCAAGGCACCCCGGGTTATAATGAAAATCTGTCGAAATATCAAAGTTGAAGACACAGCTTAATGGTAGAACACTTGTCAAGCCTGCCCAAGGCTCTAGGTTTGATTCTCCAGAACCATCCAAAAAACTCTATGAAAGGAGGAAGAAAAAAGAAAAGGGAGAGGGAGGAAAGTGGAGGGACACCCCTAAACCACCTAGAGATTTCAGGTCTGAAACATTCGTATGACTCTGTCAAGTCACGTCTCCTCTTAAGCCACCATTTTCTTCTACAGATAAACATGAGACTTTAACATTTAAATGTTTATATAAGGTATAGTCCTAGTAACTGGGAGGTAGAGGATGGACACTGGAGGCCAGCATGGCCTACACATGTAGATACCATCTCAAGATGCGCCCTCCCCCCCAAAAAAACAAAGAGAAATGCTGTGAAGGTTTAATTTCTTAGGAATCCACTAATTTCACTCTAGTGGCTCAAAACGGTTAACAGTGTAATGCAGCACTCACCAATCTACAAAATCATACAGGTAATCTGAACGTGAGTCCTGGTAAAACTACTAATTATTTCTTTAAATAAGAGAGTTTTCAAGATCATGATGAGGAAACCCACAGAGACAGCTGACCTGAGTTTGTGGGAGCTGACAGACTCTGGACCCTGGACCAACTGCTAGGAAGTTGGCATGGGACCAACCTAGGCCCTCTGCATCTGAGTGAGTTTTGTAGCTTGGTCTTTTGTATGGCCTCTAGCAGAGGACCAGGACCTGTCCCCGACGCATGAGCTGGCTCTTTGGAACCTATCCCCTGTGATGCAATGCCTTATTCAGCCTTGTGTGTACGGGGAAGAGCTTTGCTGACTCACATCGAAGGCCTTACCCCTTCTGAATGGAGGAGGGGATTAGAGGTAGGGTGTAAATCAGAGGTTGGGGGGGTAAAAAAGGAGGAGAGAAGGGAGGGGAAACTGAAAGTATGTAAAATAAATTTAAAAAAATAGAGTTGTGGCTGGAGAGAGGCATCAGCAGTAAAGAGCACCACTGGCTGCTCTTCCAGGGACTGGGGTTCAATTCCTAGCACATGGCCGCCTATAACTGTCTAAAAATCTGACACCGTCTTCTGGCCTCTAGGAACCAGGTGCACACATGATGGCACAAACATACACGAAGGTAAAACATCTATACACATAAAATAAAATAAACAAAGTTGTCAGGAGGCTAAGATGGGAAGCTCACCAGAGTTTGAGGACAACCTGGACTATAGTGAGTTCAAAGCCAGCTGGGTCTCGATGAGGAGGAGGGGCTGAAGAGATGGCTTCAGAGCAATACTTGTTGCTCTTGCCAAGGACCCCTGTTCAGTTCCCAGCACTCACACAGAGGCTAGCAGGCACCTGTGACTCCAGTTCCAGGAGAATGGACACCTTCTGGTCTGCTCTTCCTCCCAGACTGCCTTCATTCCATCTTCCCCTGGCTTATGCTGTGTTTCCTTCTTACGCCCTCCCCCTCAAAAGACCAATGAGGGGGGGCTTAGGGGTTAACATAAGCACACAGGCAAACACTCATAAACACAAAAAATAAAAATAAATCTTTAAAAACTGTAGGGTCAGCATTATCAACTCAACTAATGCTTACTGAGCACTTGCTTCCTTCTAGACAAGTGTGTAGACAAGGGCGCAGTGATAAACAATGAGAACCTAACACTAATCTTCAGATGCTTAAGCAGCTTTTAGAGTTCTCAGAAATACTTTTCTGGAACAGACACTAATTGTTAACAAGCTGTTTGAAATCACAGTGCAAATACTTCATTTAAAGTGATATAAACTATGACAATCTACAGGAGACTAAGAGTAACTTAAACATTTTAAAATAATAGTAAAAAACCAAAGCAGACAGCACGTATCCAACACAACATTCCTGATAAGGCTGACATTTTTAAAACTGCCAATAAAACTGCTGATCTCAGTATATTTCTTTCATCAAATATTTTTATAAGCAAATGTTATCCATAAATTAAGTTTGTTCCATTAGTTTATTTATTCAACAAAAAATATTCAAAGATATTTGACTTCAAATGCTAGGTACTGTAATGGGGACTACACATACAACTGACTGAGACAGAGACACTCTGCACTCTTCATGGGTCTTCAGTTAAGTGGAAAGGACAGAAACCTAATAAAGCATAAAATATATACAAGTATATCTGCATAACTAAAAATTGTGGAAAGTATCATGAGACAAAAGTACACGTCCCATGAGTAAGGTTAGTGTGAGTACCTAACTGAATTGGCAGGCCAAAAGAAGTCCCTGTAAAAACACCAAAAGTGGTAAAAACAGAACCAAGGAGGCTGACCCAAGAGAGCTGCCCTTAGTTCAAGGCTACCCTGGGCTCTATCAGGAATACTGGGCCAGCCAGTGACACATGACAAGAGCCTGTCTCAGAAAGCCTATGAATGGCAGAAAGACTTAGACATTTAGAGGTAAGTAATAGGAAGTCTAGACCACACATGAACAAGTCTGGCTGAGAATGTAAGATCAAAGACTGTAGTCAGACCGACAGAGTGAGACTGGCCATAAGGTTTAATTAATTACCCATGCCAAACTAGTGCAATCATACTTTAGTATCTCTATTCCTGCCTAAGTATAAAACCTACATTTTTCTCAACAAAATAGAATAAATAATAAGTAAGGATATTCTTTGACAAAAAAAAATAACAAAGGCCCTAACACAAGAGAGAAACCAATAAATGTAAGTGAAGCCTAAGTGAATGGGCAGTTCTCAGGGTTACTCTGGTCCAGAAGTACCAAAGGTACAGTCTCACCTAACAAAACCTGAGGGGGGGGGGGGCGCACAGTATAATTAGGTCAGGGTGTGAAGAGGAATGCAGTACAGATGGAAGAGCAGTATTCCTCCCCTGTACTTCCTTCTGTACTTTAGACCTTAGGAAACCACACATCCACACAGGGCAGCTTACAACCTCCTGTAATTTCAGTTTCAGGAGATCCAACACCTTCTTCTGGCTTCAGGGGGCACACACATATAGGCAGCACACACTTACACACGTAACATAAATAAAAATAAATCTGAACAACAAAAAGTCAGGTGTGGTGGCTCACACCTTTAATCCCTGCACTCAGGAAGCAGAGGCAGGTGGATCTGCGAATTCCAAGCCAGCTAGGACTACATAGTGGGATCTTGTCTCAAAGAAACAAAAGGAAAAAGGACGACAAATTACAACGTGCTGGTATAATCTGCTGGCTAAAAGGAGTTCGCGCTGATGACTGTCAGCTAGGAAGACATATCTGATGGTGACACAGAACTCCCAAAATCCTTGCAATTTCCTCAGTGGTGACTTTGGAACCTACCTAAGTTTATGGTAACAAAGGTTTATGTAAGCTCTTGGGCAGTTTAAAGGGCTCTTTCACCCCACATTCTCTGGTCATTTCCTCGGTAAAGAGGGTAGTTGTAGAATGAGGTAAATCATTGGTCACAAATGATTTAATCAAACACAACTACATCAAGAAACTCCAGAAAAAAATAAAAATAATAAAACAAGGAGGCTGGGAGAACTTCCTGGTTGATGAATATATCAACATTCTAGAAGGAAAATATACCCAAAAGAAACATTAACCCTTACTCTACATATGCATCTCTTTCACCTATCATAAAGTATATTCTTCATGGTAAAATATTGTGAAGTTACTGGTTTTTTGAATTCTGAGAGTCCTCTAGAAAAAACATTTTCAAGGGGGTGTCAGCTGTAAGATATGGAAAGCCTCCTAGGTGCTTCACTGTGGCTGGCATGTGAAGTGGAAGCACGCTTATGTAGCTGAGGCCCAGCCTGTAGATGGCAGTGCTACCCCACAGGAGGAGCATCACAACTGACTGCAGGGTGCTAGTGGGATGAGCAAACTACTGTCAAATCACAAATATATACATAAACACAGCGAGACTCCTTGAGTGGATCTTCCAAATGCTGCACATTTTACACCACCACCAAAACTCCCACCTGACTCAGTAGACAAACTTTGTACACACCGGAAAGCATCATACTAACACAGAAGACACAAGTTTTCAAAAATTTAAAAAGTGTATTCAAAGGTTGCAGCGTTAGAAAGGTTGAGAATCACTGGCTGAGTTTAATTAATGGCAAGAAACAGTATTGTTTCCCATTAACAAGTTCACTTCTTCACAAGAAAATACCTAAGTCTGAACACAAAAATTAAAAATTCACTTCTTACCTAAATTTAAATACTGTAAACTTAGCATATTGTTAAATGCAAAGTAGGTGATGAAGACTAAATTAGTCATTTTCAATACTTGACATATTTCTTAACAACTGGTGGATGTGGAACTTGGAAATGAGACTGGTACATGAATTACTGTTCATTACCAGAGAGCTGACAGCTGAAGGCGTGGAAGACAAACGAAAGAAAGTAAAGAACGGTGACAGGATGTCCACATTTATTAAAGTGTATTACTTAATACCTTCTCCCTCGAGAGATTTTCCAAATGTGAAGCCAGACCACTTATTTCTTTGTCTTTCTCTGCCAATTGTAGCTGAATAAAAAAAATTATCGTTAATATTTTTATTATCTTTCTCCTTATGCATGAGACTCACTTAGTACTACCAAATTAACTTCTATCACCAAGTTCAGTTATTTTCCTCCGTTCTCAATCTTTGTATTAGTTGCCATTATTGACCAATTTCCTTGCTTCTTTTCTTTCTTTTTTCTATTTGTGGAGTATGTAACCAGGCTGGCCCAGAACTTAGTTTTGTCCTGGGTTAGTCTCACACTCTTTATTCTCATGTCTCGCCTAGTTTCTCTTTTAAAATTTGTAAACACACGGATTATGCTAAGTTTCACTATGGCATCATACATATATAGCATATTTTTTAATCTTATTCACCTCTTATTCTCTTCTCTTATTACCTCCTACTCACATAATCCCCTTTCTCTTCCCACTTCACCCTTCCCCTTTCATGGAGTTACTGGTGACCCAATCAGTTTCACTAGGGTTGCTTACAGGATCCTAGGTGGGGGATTATGGGTTCCTTACTAGTGGCTATACCACTGAATAAATTATCTCTACCCCTCCCAGCAACCATTAAGTCCTGGATGTTCAGTGAGGGGCAGAGGCCTTATGAGCCCCTCCCTCCTAGCTACCATTATCTGCCTCCAGGCCCTTGGCCCTTTTCCTCCCATGACAGGGCAATGACAGGGTCAATACTGTGCAGGTCTTGCGCCAGCAATCTCAACTGCTGTGGGATTAAGAGCGCAACAGCGAGGTGATATTCTGAGGAGAGAATTACACCTCACTCCTCTAGCTTTTAAGTTCTTTCCATCCTACCTTCCAAAATATTCCTTGTACCTTGGAGGCAGTTTTCCTTATCTTGAAAATTACTCTTTGGCTTATGAAAAATTGTATCAATATTTTTTATCCAAATGCCTGTTTTGTTTTGTTTTGTTTTGTTTTTTTTTTTGGTAAGAGATGGGGCCTCGCTGCTGCCCAGGATGGAGTGCAGTGGCTATTAACAGGTGCAATCCTATCACTCATCAGCACAGAGCTTTGACCTGTTCCCGTTCCAACCTGGGCCAGTTCAATCCTCCTTAGGTAACCTGGTGGTCCTCTGCAGGAGGTCACCATACTGATGCCGACACCCAATGGGCATAGTGCACCTCAGCCCCGCACTCCTGGACTCAAGCGATCCTCCCATCTAGCTGGGACTACAGGAGTGCAACACCACACCCAGCCTAACGCCTTAATGCCTATTCTTCAGTGTCTACTTTTCCTTCCCAATTACAAATAAAGACATTCTATAACCATTCTTCTTTGTTTTTTTTGTTCATCTTCTTTCCATAAGAAGCCAGAAATATCAATTCATGTATCATTCTCATTCCCAAGTTCTAACTCTGTCAGTTGTTACTCTGAGTCAGGGTCTCACCATGTACCTCAAGCTGGCCAGGAACTCCAGGTTCAGTTCAAGCTGGACCTGAATGGCCTATATTCTCTCAACTCAAACTTCCAAGTGTTAAGATTACAGATATGTGCTACCAAGGCCAAGGAAATTCGTCATTTTCAGTAATGGCAAAACATGTTTTCATGGCTGTCTTTCCTGTATTGTAAAGGCAAAATGTCCCACACCTATTTTCTTACATTAGTAACAGACACCATCAGAACCAACAGTGTGACTGAAGCCTAACAAGCTACAACCATTTCCTTTCTCCACTCTCCAGCATTTTCAATCCGTGTTAATTCAACAACTACCCAAGACCAACAGCATTAATGGGTATAAACAAAACTATTCATTGCTGGATGTGGTAACATACACCTTTAATCCCAGAGTTTGGGACGCAGATCTCTGTGAGTCTGAGATCAACATGATCTACAGAGACAGTTCCATGCCAGCTAGGGTTACACAGAGAGACCTAGACCACATCTCAAACAAAATAGCCAACAACAGTAACAATAACAAACCCATCTATTCTTCAGTATTTCTTCCTAAAAATGTACTTCAGCTCAATCTGTTCAGATTCACAGGTTCATGTTCCTAGTCTATAGGAGCAGATCAAAGAGGGAGATTCAAGGGGGGGAGAAATGGCTCAGATTAAGAGCTCTGATTGCTCTCCAGAGTTCAACTCCCAGCACCCACATAACTGTTTACAACTCCAGTTTCAGGAAATCTCATATACAATTCTGGCTGCCACAGGCACCAGGAACACAAGGAATGTACAGTTAGTTACACATGAAAGCAAAATACCCATACACATGAATAGAAACAAATAAGGCGTCCAAAGGAAATGGACTTCATCAACTACTCTAAGAATACTTGTGCTTACGACCTCAGTTTTAACTCCTTACTCCCTATGTAGCCTCTCTAGCGCTTCCAAATTACTTTAAAAAGGACACTTAGTTCCTTTCCTCCCAGAAAATTCTCAACATCATGTAGGACCCAAATTCTATTTTAGGCCTTCTAGAACTTTTGAAGATATTACTCAAGTCTAATCTATTCCATTATAGATACAATTCTCCCCTAGTAGCTGGACCCCCGAAGCACGTGTTTGCGCAACAAAATAATTAGCTAAAGTTAAATTACTCAGAACTTTCCAGTGTTCAATCACAAAAATAAGTAAATTACATATAGATGTCTTTTGTTGTTGTTGTTGTTATTGATGATGTCGAGACAGGGTTTCTGTTTCCCTGGCTGTCCTGAAACTCTATAAACCAAGCTGGCCTAGAATTCAGAGATTCACCTGCCTCTGTGTCCATGACTGCTAGGAGTAAGGCGTGTGCCACCACTGCCTGGCTCATATAGATATCTCAAAATCTATCACATACATTTTATTCCTTAAAAGGATAATCCTTTTGACTTACCAGTCCAGTAGCCTGCCCATTTTTTTCTAACGTTTTTACAGATATCATTTATTGTTTGAATTGTTACCGAATATTACACTGGCAAAAATAAGCTTCCTTAATTAATATTACACCATTTATCTCACAGTATTTTATTTAAGATCACAGTAATCTGTATGAGAAATTTTAAAGCTAGCAATTTATTGAAAAGACAGATCATTACACTAAAAAAAATTTAGGATTAAAAAAATTTCAAAATACTTTAGCACATACATTTACAATAATAAGAAAATGAAATGATAGCTTTTAAAGATTTTTTTTTTTTTTTTGAGTGGGCTACCTCCCCGTATGTTCCTGGCAGTTTGAAAAAAAAAAAAAAAAAAAGCTTTGCCACTGCTGTCAGCTATGTACTAGAACTGGAAGGTAAGACCTACTGCTTAAGACATCACATACTTTGGTTACAGGTCTTGAGAAACCAAGCTGGAACTGAGCTGTGAACTTCCTTCATGTTGGCTAGATTTCATACTAACATACAGAGGATGCTTGCTATGCAGGCTCCTGGGAAAGAACTGTCATCAAGTCTCACTAAGCTATGGGCCCTATGTGCTATACTACCAGTGTGCCAAGCAAAACATGCCCACCAATGCAACAGCCTGTGTGTATGTGTGTGTGCGCACGCGCACGGACTCCCATTGGAAGGAACACATATCTAGTAGTGTACATCTAGTGAAAAGCCCATAGCTAGGGAGAACACAGGACTTCTGCTGTTCTACTGCTAAATGGCCATGATGCTCGTACGTCTATCAAGCTGCCTTCTAACTATTATGTACACACCCACATTAGTCCACAGTCAGCTTTGGGCAGAGAAGTTTCTCTCTGCAATGGGCGGTTATAGAACTGGTCAAAGTGCTGACATTAAAGACTATAGAATGCTTAGCCCCAAATGAAGATCTTTGTCACCTCACCTGAGGCTCAGGGAACACTCCAGGAGAAAGAGAATCTAAGAGACAAGAGGGTAGAGTGCTGTGGAATGCTGCCTTCTGCGTGTGGCATGGCCTTTGTACCCTTCAATTCTCAGCAAATGGGATTACCTGCCTAGAACCTGCACAAGACTGGCCATCGACATTCCAGCACGGAGGACGTATCTAATAACGGCCTCACATTTTCTGAGGACTAATTGGTAGTTGACGGCTGCTGGAGTAGAGAGACATTTTCTTAGTGAACAGTCACTGCTGAGTTTCCCATGCCCCTGTAAATAACCTCTTCCCCATGCTCCGCAAAGCAACGCTAATGAAATCCACAGGGGCTGGGGAAGGTGGTGGTAGACAGAAACAGGACAGGGCATGAAAGAAGGAAACTATTTGGACAGGGTATCAGTGGGAAGCTATAGTGTGTGTTGGGGAATATTTTTTTCATGGGGTAGTATTATAAAAATACATTATATAGATGCATGAAAATACACTGAAACCTACTATTATATATAATGAGTGTGTACTAAAAAAAACTTTTCAAACAGATAAATTTTAAAATCCACCTGAATCCAAAGAACTAAGCCATAATAACCAATGCATGTAGGAGCCTATTTTCTCAGGTGAATAAAACTGTATGTAACTAAATACACAGCATATTTATAGAATACTACCTAGTTTATCTATATTGAAAATGTACTCAGCTGGTATTTTATAGGTAACACATTTTCAACAGGATCATGTTCACTAAACACAATACATCAAGTCTGTGAAACTTACTTTGTAATTGTCCTCTACTTCAGCTAGTTCAAGTTTTACATTTTCAGCAATTTTTACTTGTTCTTTCCACTTCAGTTCCATTTTTGCAAGTTCATCAGCATATTTATTGCATTTGGTTTTCTCCTCCTAAATAAAATTAGCATAATTACTAAAAACTTCACATCTCCATAGAGCAGGTATCTATACAAATAGATATGTGTGATGATTACTGTATAAAACCAAAATGTTTACCAAGACAAGAATGAATAAATCATCTTATAGCTACACAATGGAATAGCACATATCTCCTTAAGAGTGAGATAAGTGGATCGGTAGACCATGAAGTGTCATATTAAGAGCACGCTGCAAAAGATAATACAATCTCATTTTGTTTATAATTTGTTTTCAACAGTTAATATGTTGTACAGAAAAAGACAATCCAAAATATGCATAGTTCTTGTACTTTGGATCAAGATCATGAATGTGCCTATTTTTAATTTTTTGGTTTTTTTGAGACAAGGTTTCTCTGTGAAACAGCCTGGAACTCGATTTGTAGACCTGGATGACCTCGAACTCAGAAATCCACCTACCTCTGCCTTCTGAGTGCTGGGGTTAAAGGTGTGCACCACCACTTCCTGGCCATGGATGCACTTTTTAATCACCTCTATTCTTTACATTTTTAAGACTATAACATTTCATAGTAAGTATGTATTACTTTTGCAAAAGGAGGGAATCTAACTCATTTTATGGTTTAGCTTTTATGACAGCTCCTTTTTCTTAAAAACACACACACAAAAATAAAAGTCAGGCGCTCCCAGTACTCAGGAGGCAGAGGCAGGCGGATCTCTCTGAGTTGAGGCCAGGCCAGTTTGGTCTACGAGAGCTAGAACCAGGACAGGCTCCAAAGCTACAGAGAAACCCTGTCTTGAAAACACCCCCCCCACACACACACACACAAAACACCACAAGGAAGAGGTTACAAATAAGTAACCAAAAAGTAAAAAGGCCAATTTCATTTAAGTATTTGTTCTTTTGAGGTAAAGCTCAAAAATATTTTGAGTAATCAATGGAAAAAGGATCAACTTTCTAAACTCCACTTCTTTCCATTCCATACTTCAGAGCATAGACAAAGACAAATCTAAATGTTCTACAAACCTAAATGTAAAAGTTGACTACAGAATTCTAGGTGGACCAGGAGAGCAGCCCACTGGCAGATCACTGGTTGAAGCATTGTGAGGCCCTGGGTTTGATCTCTACGCACAGCAAAACAAAACAAGTAACTCCTGGACACAGCGCAAAGAAATATATTTAACACTTTGCAGAACATTTTTTAAAATACAAAAATGTAAAAGAAATTGATACTCTATCAAAATTAAAATTTGATTTTCTAAAAACATCATTAAGGAAACAAAAATTTAACAGCATACTGCACCCGACACTGCCATGCCCATGGCTTCGGGAGCATAATAAAGAGATTTGTAATCTTGTTTCTACTATAGTCTGAAGGGTGAATTCTTTGAGTCAACTGACCAAAATCACCCACCACATGTATACAATAAAGCTATACCTGCTTAGTTATGTGCTTTGTCTGTAAATAACCACACAATTTGGCAAAATCTGATTTCCACTCCTCTAGAAAAAAATTACATAGCAAGATGAACAATAATACCATGGCGCAAAAAAAAAAAAATGCCAACACTTAACAAAAAGGTAACTGAGGGCTGAAGAGATGGCTCAGCAGGCACAGTGCCTGCTAAATAAAGTAGGAGAGCCTGAATTCGGATCATCAGCACCCATGTAAAAGCCAAGTGTGGCAACATGCATGTGCAATGCTAAAGCTGAGATGCACAAGGGCAGGCAAATCCCCAGAGCTCGTTGATCATCTAGCTGACTAGGAATCTCGAAGCTCAGGGAGAAACCATTTCCAAAAACAAGGTGTAAAGCAATTATTCCACACTGAACTGCAGTCTCCACAGACAGACACTCAAATGTGCATGTGTACCAGCATGCACAGGTCCAGGTACATGGACAAAATGTACTCACATACACACATTATACACACACACAAAATTAAGAAATCTAAACTTTAAGTCATTATGGAAATGCAACTTACACTACAATATTCTCATTACAATTATTAGCTTGACTGTGTAAAGCGATACAACAATACTAAAGAAAACATTTATTATTTCTTATAAATACCCTATTCTGCATCAAGGCATCTGAGCGAAAATATCTAATCCCTCTGACCACAAAAGACATAAAAAAAAAAATGTTCAGAGTACCTTTAACAATCAAAAAATCCCCCCCCCAATTATCACCATATTCCCCCCACTTTTCAGACTGCTTCCAAGGCCACACTCACTCACTCAGCCACCCTCCATTCTTCTCAGAACACTGGCCTATCCAATCAGGCAAGAGATGCACATGCTAGAGAAGACGAACTGAACATCCAGTTGCCTCAAAACCCAAGCCCCTTAGTTTTGGCCAGCTCGTGTCAGCAGCTCCATCTGTAGTCCTAGAGCAGCAGTACCAGGTAGGAACAATGAAAGAGGAAACTGCTATTTCATCTTTTTCACAAAGCTAGGTTAAAACATTCTAAGATGAAAAAAGAAGCAGTTATGGCATGCTGAGAAATTGACTCTACTACTTCCAGAAAAATATAAAAACCATTAGTATCCAGAGGGGGAAAAACATAAAAAGGATGAGCCTATAGATGCATTCACGTCAACAGTATTTTGGAGCGAATCTTAATGTCCTTGAATGGCTGTAAGAACAGCTGCATCTTGTATGAGCATCTTGTAGGTTTGGCAAAGGAACAGTCCATCTGGGCAGACCCACTCGAGGAGCGCTGACGACATAGGGGAAGCAATGCATGCATTGTTGCCAGCTCTGAGAACAATAAGCACTAAAAGAGTTACCAGGACCCCTCATGAGGTGACATCTATCACATACAGTGCCTACACAGATATAGGCAAAAATACCTATATACATGAAAACAAATAAAAATTAAACAAAATCCAATCTCTGTTATACATCCCAGCAAAAATGCACTGCATCACACTAGAACATCAGTACCATCTTCATATCTTCTATAGAAAGACCTCAGAAAGTTCAGTTTAAGACTTGATTAAAACACTAAACATTACCACTAAACAAGTAACAAAATATCTTAAGTTATTACAGTAACACTGAGCAGATTTACAAATTTCATTGTTGTTCTAAAAATGTTACCTTCCTTTCCCTTATGCAAAAACACACAAAACTTTAAAAACCACATATACGAATACAAAATTATTTTGCCCTCTATTCAAAACTAGATATACATGAGAAGCATTTTTACCTTATACTTTAAAGAATGCAAAGTAACTTTCGCCAGTAAAAAGTAATGAAATTGAAAGAATCTGAACAATGGTGCTTAAAATAATTAAATTCAACTCAAGAATGTTGCTGGAATGTATATTATAACAAAGAAGTTGGGTTTTATTTAATTTAGTTATAGTTAGAATGCAACTGGCCCCCATAAGCTCATAGAGAGTGGGGATGTGTCTCTCTGGGAGTGGGTATGACCTTGTTAGAGGAAATGTGTCACTATGAAGGAGTGCTTTGGGGTTAGCTATGCTCAGGATACCACCCCAGTGTCTCAGTCCATTTCCTGTTGCCTGTAAAATGTAAAACTCTCCAGCACCATGTCTGCCTGCACATAGGGATATCCCTCCATGATGATAATGGACTGAACCTCTGAACTGCAAGTGAGCCACCGCAATGAAATGTTTTCCTTTAGAAGAGTTGCCGCAGTCATGGTGTCTCTTCACAGCGATAGAAGCCCCGACTAAGACAGGAGAACAACTTATTTGCTTAACATTCGCATCCTTCACTCTGAAAATACGGTTGCTAGATACGCAGTAAAAGATAGAGGTTTGGGGGACAGCAGGACGGTCAAGTACTTGCTGCACAGGCACTGAGGATCTGAGTTCAGATCCTACCGACTCACGGGCCACAGCAGCATGTCCCGCCCAAACTGTGGGCTCGAGGTTCATGACAGACCCTGTCTGAAAAAGTACTGTGAGGAAGCAACTGAGGAAGACATCACGAAAATAATCTGTGGCCTCCACATGCACCCACACTGGTGAGGGCATGAGTGAACACATAAGCACATAAATGTAATACAATTTTCTGTTACTAATACATTTTTAAATAGAATTTCATTTTTAAAAAGAATTTCTTCCCTAGTTCAAATGCTTTCCATATATCATTCTAATACAGAGGAAAAAAATTCTAATTATCAATTACTTATATTGAAACAAGGACATTTTATCATGGTATGGAAAATACTGGCTTATGATAAAAGATTTTACAAAAAGACCTGCATGTAAAGGTATACAAACACCCCTTCCATCATCCCAAATGCAGTATCAATATAGAAAATGGGAAAAGAAACCCTCCAAACATCAATAAAAATAACTAAGGCAAAGCAGTTACTATCTGATAAATCTCCCACTGAGAAAGGAGCTAACTTACCTGCAAGAGTTGTTTACATTTATTATACTTTTCTGTTTTCTCAGCAATTTCTTTGGTCATTTCACAGACATGATCCTTTGTTAACATGTCAAAATCTGTCTCTGTTGCAACAAAAGCAGAATATTTATACAGTATTATGAAAATATTTAAGTATATTTAAGGTAACATTTTCTGGAGATGTTAAGAGCAGTAACTGCCCTACCGAAGGACCTGGGTTCAATTGCCAGCACTCACATGGCAGCTCACAGCTGTCTGTTATTCTAGTCCCAAGGGATCTGATATTCTCTTCCAGCCTCCATAGGTACTACACATGCATGTGATGCACATGCATACATACAGGCAAAACATCAATACACATTAAAGTAGTAAAAACATTATGTGCTCTGTCCGAGACCAGCCTGGTCTATACCTCCAAATCCAAGCCATCCAGGGCTACAAAGTGAGAGGCGCTGCCTCAAAAGACTAAAGCAATTATTTTTTTTCCTTTATTTTATCTTCCTGTAGAAAAACCTGAATAAGTGTATTGTGGAATATTGCCAGAACTGGGAGTACACTGAGCTACAATCCCACTACTCAGAAGACTAAGACAGTGAGCATCCAAAGCAGAAGGGAATACACAGGGCTCAAGGGCCAGCCTGGGCAACTTGGTAAGATCCTATCTCAAATAAATTTTAAGAAAGAAAAGGGTGGTTTGCGGATCCAGCGCAGTGATAGAGTATTTGTTTAGCATTTTAGTAAAGTGCAGTGATAGAGTATTTGTTTAGCATTTTAGTAAAGTGCACCCCCCCAAAAAAAAAACCCAACAAATTGTGAGATGTTTGTTGTTCTCTCCCCCACTGCATTTGTGGACATGTGTGTGTCTTACTTTGCTTTGTTTTTAAGGCAGTGTTCCTATATAGCCCAGGATAGCCTTCAATTCACAGCTACTCTCCCTACTTCTTGAGTATTGGGATTACAGGAATGTACCACCACACCTGACCTCTATGTGAGAATTTTTAAATGTCAGTTTTGACCAAAACAAAATTCACATTCAATAAATAAGAAATCAAAAAGCAAACGAAACAAAAAGCCAAAAGCCTGCTACAATTTTCCAAGTAGTCAAAGAACTGCTGTTCTTAGATAACTGGGCAGGCAGCCAGAAAGCCATGCTCCTGAGAGTTTATTCTTTCAGCTCTCAGCTCTGTTTCCCTCCACTAAGTCATTATGAAATCAGGATTCAATATCACAGTAGGTACTACAGGTTGAATATTATTATCCTAAAATCTGAAATTCAAGTTCCACTAAAAAAATGAAACAAATGTTCCAAACTCTGAAGCTCTCTGAACACATCTGACACTACAAGAGCTTCAGATATGAGGTGTTTCAGATTGGGAATCATGAACTGTTTACCCAAACATTCCAATTTGTGGAAAAACCTGAGACCTAAAAGCCTTTCCTTTCCCTGTATTTCCAAGAAGGAATACTCAACTTAAGAGAGGACAAATAAATAAAATGGTGCATACTGTCCTATAAGGTTGTTTTAAAATATTTAGTAGTCTAAGAAAATTTATTTTATAAAACTAAACCATCAATTACACCATACAATAAAAACAGAAATATACTTTGCTGGTACTTATTTTCCTTACTGTAAATAAGCATAAAAGGACAAGAAGTATAAATGAAAATCTGTAGAGTTAATTCAAATTACATTACTCATTTAGTATACCTGAATGTTTTAAACAAACTAATAAACAGTTAGCCCACCAATATTAACATCCACTAAAGAAAGATGTACCCTGGTGATCCAGAGCAGGAGGGAAGAGAAGGGGTTTAGAAGGATGGGGTAGTTTTCTCTTGCAGAATTATCATTTGTTTTAATGTTATAAAATCATTAAGGTAAAATAGCTACTCAAAGTGCAAGATAAGCCTCCAGGTTGAATGTTACTGTGCTGCAAAATCCTGGCTTTTCAACGCCATCACTTTTCCCACATTTGTCCTTTGTCACTGTGCTCTAAGAACCTTCTTGGTCCGTATTTATTACATAACTAAATGGAAGGAATTCTTACATGTCACTGTTCCCTATGTTTCAAATTAGTACTTCTAGCACCAACTCAATTTTTTACAATTCATTCATTTATTATTTATTTTATGTGCATTGGAGTTTTGTCTGTTTCAATGTCAGTGGGAGGGCTTTGGATCTCCCGGAACTGGAGCTACAGGCAGTTGTGAAATGCCACGTGGGTGCTGGGAATCAAACCTGGGTCCTCTGGAAGGGCGGAATCAAAGCTGCTCTTAACATCTGAGCCATCACTCCAGTCCCCAGTGCCAAGTCCGTTTCTCATGTACTGAAGGTAAGTACTAGTTTACACTCACAACCTGCACGGTAAGCACATAGGTAACTTTACCTCACTTTAAAATCCTCATTTACCCTTTGCCTCACTCAATTCTCTCTCACAAGAGAATTCCAATTTATGGAAGCAGCCTGAAATTCTCATACATGGAAGCAGACAGTATCAAATCAGGATACACAGTTTTCAAGGAGGGTGACTCTATACAGAAGCAGATTTTACCTGCAGAAGACACTGCTGGCTTGACATCGTTGGCAGAAGCAGAAGCGGCCAGGTCCGTGGTTACCGAAGCATCATTCACTCTCTGCTGAGTCCCAATTCTCTTTGTGTAGACACTGTTAGTACTGGCCTATCCAAAATGTTAACATCAATTACTGAAAAAAGTCACCGATGAGTCATATTGATTTCCTTTACTAATTACGCAAATAATCAAAAAAAGTTCACAGAACTACTCACTATGAAAGTCTAAAAGGAATAAAGCTACATTTTCCTAACTGATGAAAATGGTGTAAAAGAAAACTAACTGCTTCTTTCCTGTGAAATCACCAAAACGCATCATTGATAGAAATCTCACCATCTCATAGATCAAAATGTACTCAGTGGACCTGGAGAGCCGGCTCCACAGTTAAGAGCATGTGTGGCTCTTGCAGAGGACCTATGTTTGATTATTATCACACACATGGTGGTTTGCAGTCACCTGTAATTCCAATTCTAGGGGATACAATGCCCTCTTCTGACTTCCACAAGCACCAAAAACACACATATAGTACATATACATACATGTAGGTAAAATAAAATGAATACACCTACTTAAAAATCTCTGTAAATCACAATGTTCCTTCACAAAATGCTTCCTACTTTACCACTGCACGTGCATCCTTGCTCCTATTATTCCTATAGAACCTAAAATATTATTTAGGTTGCTCCTATTTATTCCTGAGAACCTAAAATAGTAATACTAACACACAGCGGTCTGTACACAGTAATCAATGTTTTCTTTACATTTCACTTCCAAGATTCCCTCATGCAATAAGTCTTATATTTCAGCACTATTTAGGGCTTTAATATATAAACCCATCCAAATGAAATGTCTTTGCTTTATTATGAATATACCTACCTACTACTACATGAAATACAGAATAAGCTAACACATTTGACCTCTTCCTACAGTGGTACAAGCGGGATGGGAAAGACAGCTGAGAGAGCAGTGAGAACAGCCCACAAGTGTCATCTAACACTAAATAATGAATTTAACTGACAGAGGTGCTCACTATGAGCTTAGGAGAGCAATGGCAGAAAGACGAGCACACTTGCTCCTGTCTGCTCTTGCTGCTGACCCAGCTTCCTTTATTGGCGCTCAATAAATACAGATCTCAGGTTCAAACAGAAAAGAGGATTGCCATTACAGTATTACACCTGAAATCAGAAGTGATGAGCTCAGGCCAGCAGGATAGCTCAATGTGTAAAAGCACTTCCATTAAACTTGACAACATCCTGCATTCCATCCCCTATCCCTGAGACCCAGAAGGTAGAAGAGATAATCAACTCCTTCAAGTTGTCTTCTGACCTTCACATACCACTCCCAACACACATTTACACCTACAAAAATAAACACAGAAGATACAGTATGTGCTCAGGAAAAAATTAGGTCGTAATTTATATTCAAAAGGTTAATATTTAGATTCTATATTTTATTTGCAAACAAAAGGCTGGCAAAGGAAAACTTCACTTCACAGGAATTCAAGGAAAACTTACTGACTGGTCTGAAAGTTTGTTTATTTGTTTTTGGAGCCTCTGGCATTCCTTAAACTTTTCTTTGTAATGATCTGCAGCCATCTGCAGCCGGAGTTTCAGATCTTCAACTTCTCTCCTCAGTTCATGTTCCAGTGTATCAGTCTTTTCCTTAGAGACGAGGGGGGAGGGAGGGAGGGGAGGGGAGGGGAGGGGAGAAGAGAAGAGAAGAGAAGAGAAGAGAAGAGAAGAGAAGAGAAGAGAAGAGAAGAGAAGAGAAGAGAAAAAATTTCAACTAAGGAAAAAAAATTCTGATACTTCATAATATAATAATAAATCCTAACTTCATTTCCATGATTTTTTCTTGGCTTTAAATTTATATTTGTTTTGGGGTTTGGGCTTTATATTCTAAGTCTAAGATTTACTTAGAAGCTGAGGAAAAAAATCATCCACTTTCTGAGGAGTTACATATATAATTCCTTAAAATAACCATATTGCCATTTTATGTAGCTGGTAAACAAATTCCACACAAAGCACTCTCCATCTAACATTAAAAACATGTAACAGAGAAGCTTTTACTGACATTAAGACTTATGTTTCACTAGGGCTGGCCTTGATGACACAGGTACAGGTGAGCTGGCCCTGTCCCTGACCAGCTGTAGCACTCAGGAGAGTGGCCCCTGAATCTCGCCTGGGCAGGCAGCACAGGAGAGCTGGCCTTGAAGGTGTGTAAGCAGGAAAGCTGGCCCTGGATGCAGGGGTATAGGAGAGCGGGCAGACTGGCCAATTCAGCTACCACCCAGGCCCAGATCTAGGGCTTTGATGTTGGGCCCTCCCCAACATCTACTCCATCTAAGAACTGCTGAAGCACATGAAGGCGCCAGCCCTGCAGAACCAAAGCTACAGGATCTCCACGGCACAGGGTAACAAGAAGCTATCTTGGAGGAGTCCTGGCGTGGCTCCAATATTGATAGTGTAGCAGAAGCCAGAGGCCTTAAACCGGAACAATGAGTCACTGTAATGAACATTTTCAAGTAAAGCTGTTTGGGCAAAAGGGTAGACTGGGTGACAAACTGTGACACACTGCAGTTTCCTCATTGAGATTTTTTTCCTCTTTTAATTTTTCAGGTTTTTTTTCTTATGGAGGGGGAGGTTGCAAGGGCAGAGGGCAGATGAGGGTAGGGAGAAGGGGATTTGGGTGTATGATATGAAATTCACAAAGAATCAATCTAAAAAATTATACTTATAGTTTTCTTTCTAACCCAAGAAATTACAATGATTTAACAGAATAAATAGGAATTAGTCTTTCTGACCAGGCTGTGGAAGCACTATCTTTAATCCCAGCACCTGGAAGTTAGAAGTGGGCAGATCTCTGAGTTCAAGGACAGCCTGGTCTACAGAGTTCCAGGATTACCAGGAATACAAAAAGACGCCTTATCTCAAAAAAACAAAAAACAAAACAAAACAAAAACGCCATTAGTCTTTCTGACCTAACTTGTTTGAACAGTTTCCTCTCCTCTATGGAGCTTTTAAGTGTATTGGGGATCAAGAGACCAAATGAACTTGTTTTACCTGGTCTTTCTTCGCAGCATTTAACTGAAGTTCTGCGAGCTGCTTCTTCACTCTCTCGTTCTCCACGCGCGCAGTGTGCAAATCTGCCATTGTTCTATCTCTCACTTTCACAGCATCGCTGAGCTCTGTAGCCAGGAAGACAGCTTCTTGCCGTGTTGCCTGAAGTTGATCCTCTGCTTTCCGAAGTTTCTCCTTTAAAAGTACTGGATCTTCCTGAATTAAATTAAAATTTAAAAATTTAAAAGATTTCAACAGTTCCAGAATTTTAAATGAAATAATGCTTTTCCACTCATGACATAGGTTTTAAGATTTCTCACAAGACAGGGTTTCTCTGTGTAACAGCCCTGGCTGTCCCAGAACTAGCTTTTGTAGACCAGGATGGCCCCAAATTCACAGAGATCCACCTGCCTCTGCCTCCCAAGTGTTGGGATTAAAGGCGTGCACCACCACTGCTCAGTCTAATATAGTATCTTTTGAAAAGGCAATTTGAAAATAACTATTAAAAGTTAAATGTCTGTTAGTCCATCAACTTAATTTGAAGGAATATATTCTAGACTTAACCATGTGCCTAGTCTCACTTCAGCTATGTAAGAATACTGATTGCAGTATGCTCAGAAAGCTAAAGATAGTAAACTACAGAAGAACTGACTGCACAGATTCTGAAAACAATACTGTGCAGCTATAATGATGAATCAAAAGGCTCCACAAGGATATCCATAGTAGCATCTTATATTTATAACTCAAAAACAAATAAATAAAAACAAGTTTAGGCTAGGTATGGGGCCAAGAATCTTTAATTCAAGCACGCAGAAGGCAGAAACAGGCCAATCGCATGAATTTGAGGCCAGTCTGACCTACATATTGAGTTCCCAAACAGCTAGGGTTATAGAATGAGAACCTGTCTCAAAAGAAAAATAAAAAAAAGCTCTGGGAAACTGTACACAGACACATTCCACGTTCATACATTCTCATTTGAATTTAAATGTGTGTGCAAACTAAAATCCTACATTCATACAGCAAAGAAAGGATGCTAACTTTTAATTTGTATACTCATCACTATTTAAATCCTTTTAGAACCATAAATTCAGACATTACAATCTCCTAAAACATTTTAGCAATTAGTAATCATTTCCTTCAGCATTTAAAAATTATGTATTTCACTTGTCTTGCTTAAATGCAAAAAAAGATACTTAAAGATATTTTAGCATCTTATTAAATCAAATCTAATCAAATATACTTTTCACATTTGCACTTGCAATTGTTTAGATTAAAAGAGCAACTGTAGACTCAATCAGGAATTGTAAATGTCATAGACTTCTAACATTTTCAGAGCTGCATTAACTATGTCTCCAGTATAATTCATATCAAAATGCCAAGACAACCTAATATTAATCCATAAAAGCTAAGCACTACAGTAAGATGACTGTATTCATGCAATACAGTAGCTACTGGAAAAGAAAGAGGAGGACAAGCTCTGTACAGCATGCTACATAAAGCAAGAGCCCAGGTAGTTAGTGGGTGCCTATAATCCCAATTCTTAGGAGCCGGGGGCAGGAGGTGTTCAGCTGTTGTGGTCTTAAACTTTTTCAAAAGTGATGGTTGAGGAACTAGAAATGGCTCCAGGGTTAAGTAACTCCAGCTCCAGGGGATTCAACTGCCTCTTCTGACCTCCATAGGTGACCACATGCTTGACACACAGACACATAAGAAAAAAATAAAATAAATCATAATTTAAAAGGAAGGAGGATTTTTAAAATAAAAAAAATCTGAGGAAAACATAAAACATGAGTAAAAACAATGATACTAAAGATAAGTTTCACAATCTTCACCATTTTTCTAAAGTACTTACTTTATTTGAGGCTGTAAGCAGGAGAGCCTTGTACAAATTTTCCTTTTCAAACAAGCACAACTGCAATTTGTCAATCTCTTCTTTGAACTGAGCAATCATGCTTTCTTTGTTTCCATCTAAATTCTTTAAAGTCTGTACTTCTGACATAAGCTTGGTATTTTCTATTTCTGTATTCTTCAAATGTACCTGTGATAACAGTGTTTGAATCATCAAGAATATTCTTGCTAGCATAATTCAAGTTAGTCAAAGTTTAAAATACCATTATTTCTCATCCAAAAATGCCAAAGGAGGAAGTAGGTTTCAGGAGACCCAAGTTCTGCAAAATGGCTACCCAGGCATATAGTGGCAGAATATAGCTTTTGAAAAGTTTCTGTTTCCCATGGCTATAGACAGACAATCTAATGTCTAACTATATTACATGATCTCTAAAGACTTTATCATCAGTTCAATCATTTATTTTCTATTTTAAAATATAAATGTTTGGCTGTTTTGGGAAGGAAGAAATACCACGCTGTAGACATATTTAGAAATTAGACTACGAAAAGTTCTGAAAACTAAACATTCAAAACATCTAAACAATTATACTTAAAAAAGATGTATCTTTTTTTAAATAATGTGCATATATGTAAGTCTGTAGATATGTACAAGCAAATGTTAGGTGCTCACAAAGGCCAGAGCAATCAGAGTTATATGAGAAAGCCATTTGATTTGAGTGTTAGGAACCACACTCTAGTCCTCAGTAAACCAGCTCTTGAACAATGGGCCATCTCCAGTCCAATTCCACTTTTTCCTTACAAGAAGTACTATGTTATCTATTTTCCTTGAGACTAAAGTTGTTCTCTAATGTGCAAGTGACATATCTCCCATCCCCACACACATCATGTATTCACATCAAGTATGCACATACATACATTTTTTATGTGCTAGAGAAAAATAAATTGCTTTTTGTACTTCACTCTTCATAGCTACAGAAAGCCAAAGGACTAATTTCTGTTCCTAGGGAGGAAATATATCTCTGTCAACAGCCCAAACCTTTGCAGCATCACTTCTAAAACACTACCTAATGCTCATTAACTGTCAGCTCATAAAAGTGACTTGAGGTTGATAACTTAGGATGTTTATCTCAAACTTTTAAAAATCTTGGTATGTTTATTCTTGTGAGTGTGCAGGTGTCACAGAACACACATGCTATGGTGCCCACATGAAGGTCAGAGGACATCTTCAGATGTTGGTCCTTGTCTTCCACCTTCTCTGGATAGGGTCTCTTGTCCACAACTGAATACATTCAAACTAGCTGGCCCACAGGCTTCCAGGAATTCACTCACTTATCTCCACCTTTCACCTCGCTACAGTAAGCTAGGATTACAAACACATGCTGTGGTGATCTGAAAGAAAATTGTCCCCAAAGGGCACAGCACCATTAAGAGTTGTGGCTTTGTTGGAATACATGTGGTCTTGTTGGAGGAAGTATGTCACTGTGGAGGCAGGCTTTGAGGACTTATATATGCTCAAGCCACACCCAGTGAAACAGTCTACTACCTGTTGCCTGCACATCAACATGTAGCAGAGACCTCTCCAGCACCATGTCTGCCTGCACGTAGTCATGCCCCACCATGATGAACTATACATGTTTTCCTTTATAAAAGTTGTCGTGGTCATGGTGTCTCTTCTCAGCAATAAAAACACTTAGATACCTACCATTGTGTTCAGTTTTATATGGACTCTTGGGATCGGAACTCAGGTTCTCAAACTTAAGTGTAAATGCCTTACTCAGCAATATTCCAGTCATTTATTTAGAACTTTCTAGAGGAAATATTTCTCAGATAAGAAAATTAGTCTCAATTTTCACCCACAGTTAAGCTAATTTAGTCCTTATTTCAAGATTGCTTTAAAAAGACTGAAAATTTTCAAAAAGTAAGACTCACAAGCAGTGGGAAAATTATAATCTGACAGTTTTTTCAAAAGCTACTCTGAAATACGATCAGGGGACTGGCAGAGAAGATCAGGCACTTGTGGCCAAGCCTGACAGTTGTGCTCAATCCTCAGACCCCATACGGCAGGAAAGAACAAGTCCTCTGACATTCACCGTGGCTTCTGCATGCCCACACACATATACTCACAATTGTATATCGTACCCACACATACACACACATTAAACAAATGTAAGTTTTTTAAAAATATGATCATCTCTGAAGAAATATATATTCTTAAAAGGTAAAAACTATTATAAATTCTAATAAACAACTATCCTGTTACCATTAAACTTCTTTAATTATCCAGTACCTACTACATACCTAAAGCACCAGCAAATCTTCTAAATACTAGCTTTTAGGGACAATATGCATTCCAGTTGTGATTTCCTTGGTTCCTTCCATCTTGGACTACTCACCCTGAAATCAACTGCCATGACTATAAGACACGCAAGAGGCCGTCTAGAGACAGCTGAAGGGTCTCCTTACAAAAGCCATGAGGACCTCCCTATAAAAGCATGATCAACCATGAATGTATATTCCCCAAGGTCCCATGCAAGTCTTTAGCTGACTACAGTCCATCATTCTCCTGACTGTAAAGATACAAGTGACCAGGAGCTCAGCTGCACTGCTCTCAAATTCTCAACCCAAAAAGCCCACTGCGCGTAAGAAAGGAACAGACCTATTACCTTATAAAGCTCCTTCTCATCCTTTTCTGTCTTCAGCTGACATTCAAGTTGTTCTCTTTCATGCTGTAGCTTCCTGAGTTTATCTTTCAAACTATGTTATGAAAAAATAAACACACATATATAAATCATAAAGAACTTTGTTAAGCATTGAAGTCATTTCTTTAAAGCACCAGACATACCTGTCTAGTTCAGTTTCTTTTTCAACTGCCTTATGAGTCACTGACACAATATCTTCTTCAAGTTGTTGAGCTTTAGATGTAACATCACTGTATCTCTTCATCAACTCTTCATTTTCCATTCTCAAACTTTGTGATACTTCAAGAAAGTCCTTAGAAACAACAATAACGTATCTTTCAGTAAACAAAATTGTGTATACTTCAGAAATCTCTCCATTAAAAAAAGAAACCCAGTGTGGTGGTGCATGTCTTTAATTCCACCACTCGGGAGGCAGACCTCTGTGAGTTCAAGACCATCCTGGTCTACAAAGAGAGTTCCAAGGTAGCCAGAACTATGGAGATAGAGAGAGCTTGTCTCAAATAAATAAGTTTGTGAAAAGGGTTTCATTCTATCTCTTGGGTGTTGAGACCACAGGCATGTACCATTACATTTGGCTTTGAATTAATACAATTTCAACCCACATTTATTCTTTCAAATTGTATAATCCAAGACTGTAAAATAAGCCCAAAATTCTAACAGTTAAACTTTCATACATACACTCATCGTTTTTATTTTTTGTTTTGCATTTTTGTGATTGAAACTATGCACACATGTGTGTGGAAGATGTGCAAGCCCATGCTTACAAAAGGCCAGAAAAGGGCACCAAGTCTTCTCCTATTACTCCCCACAGTCTCTCCCTTGAGCCCAAGGAGTTTTCTTGACCAGGCTGGAAGTCAGAAAGTACCAGTGGTCCTCCTTTCTCTGCCCAGCTTGAAACTGGGGTAAGGGCTTTTGCAGTGATGCTCAGCATGTTATGCAGGTTCTGGAATCTAAACCCTGATCTTCTTGATTGAAGAACAAATTCATTTAACCACTAAGCCATTTCTCCAGCTCCCAAGTTTTTGTGGGTTTTTTTGTTGTTGTTCTTACATAATATCATGTAGCTGAAGCTGACCTTGAATTTCTGATATTCCTACTTTGTCTTCCCATGTGCTGAGATCATAGGTGTGCGCCACTATGTCCAGCCTGACCTACTAGTATATCAATTATTAACATGTATTTTCCATCCCTGTTTTACATGAACTCTCTTTTGATGTCACTTGCTTCTCCACCAGAGGGCAGGCAACAAAAATTGTATTTAAAAATTTTAATTATTTCCTTTTGTGTTTGACACCTCATTCTTATTAAGTCAGTGACAATTCAGGTCTCATATGACACTATCAAGCTGAACACCCATTCTAGCGCCACAACACACGCCTATATAGCTAAACTACTGCTCCTCATGTTCCCTGAGGTATGATTCATTCAAAAAGACTAAAATATTCAAAGCTGTTACAACATACATAAAAGATGAAAATAGAACCTTCTACTTTAAACAGATTCTTTAAAACTTAAAACATCTTCATCACAGGAATTATGGCAATTAAGTATGCCCTCCAAGTTTCACTACTAGATAACTGATAAAATTTTGAGTCAAGTGTAACAAAGTATACAAAGGTGCTGCTATAAAAAAATATACACCAGAAAAACCGGTAAGTCAAAGTATTTTCATTTTCCGAAAGCTGTGCATGACAGCACATAGCTATAATGGCAACACTCAGAAGGCTGAAGTAAGATAAGCAAGCCTAAGACCAGTCTGATTTATGTAAGAGACCCTGTCTCAAAGAAACAGATGGAAGAGGAAAAGAAGGAGGGTGGAAAGGGAATAAGAATCACCAACTAATGACCAAATTAGTAATTACTAAGCCTTGTTGGCCAGAAGTCCAATAAAAGAAACTCACAATTGAAAAAAGTTTCAATCCTGTTCATAGGCATGAGGCTAGCCAACTGGGTACAACACTGAGATGGTGATGCATATAATCATAATCTTTAGGAGTTTTTTTCTACAACTAAAAGTTATTTTGTGAGAGTTATTACATAACCAATGACCACGTAGCTACATCTCTTTCCTTAGTTTTCAGTTTCAAACTCAACCCCAGTTTTTTACATAGTCATTTTTCTTTGTTCAAGAAATAAGAATGTCCATTTTAACTAGGTAGGGTGTTTTGTTTTGTATGGAGGATAATTTACAGCCTTTCTCACAGTAGGAACTTTACTCAGGTTACTGTGTTCTGCCTTGTTTGTGCTGTTTTGGATGTTAGGAGTTAAGGCTCTGACTGTGTGGCTTATGCTGTTGTGAACCTGGTCTTGAACTCAGTCTTCCTGACTAAGTGCTGAGATCACATGTGTGTGCCACCACTCCTAGTTAAATTATGGTTTTTGGAGAGTAATTTTAACTTTTTCATTCTACCTTCCATTAATTTAGTGTTCATTATTCCTATATGAGTTTTTCACACCCCACACCCCTTCTCAAATCTAGCGAATATAGAATTAGATGTAAAATACTGAGAAATAGTTGTAAGAAGTCTGATGTGGTTGTTCATGCCTGTAATCTTAGCACTGGGAAGGCAGAGATGATGTTCAAGAGTTCGAGGACTGGGTCACTGAGTAAAAAAAACAATAAAACCCATCAGAGCACTTGCTGCTCTTGCAGAAGACTCATCTATTCCTAGCCCCAGAGGACGGAACCCTCAATTCCAACCTCCAAAGGCCCCAGGCATGCACATGGTGTACAGCGACATACATGCAGACAAAACACCCATACACACAGCGACTTTCTTCAAGATCTGATCTTCGGTCGCCCCAACTGCTTCCCTTTTGGAATGGTGTAACAAACCTTCTGCTCAGCCTGCAGTTGTTCACATCGCCCTTTCTCATGGCTCAGCTCTCTCTCCATTCTTCCAACTTGCTCTCGAAGCTGTGCTGTTTCTTTTTCAAGAACAGCGATCAACTTTACCAATTCTTCTTTTTCTTTCATGGTCTTCTCAATTTTCAGCTGGTTTAAAAAAAACTCAAATAAATTAGTTTTCATCATAAAATATTACAATTTTAGTTTCCTACCTTTAAAAAGTGAACTAACCAATGTTCGCATTCTACCTACTGTGTATCATTCAGTCTGCTATGCTCTGGTAGAAAACTTTACATGTGGGAGTTACACATATACAAATATATAGCCAACTGTGTAGACGACACAAAGTCCTTGTGCTCACAGGTAAACACTAGGGAAACTAGGAATGTTAACATGCAGAGTTATCTCTTTAACAAAGAGATGCACACCCGCTTTCCAGACAGAAGGCTGAGAGTAGATGTAGTTAACAGCCTGTTGACTCGTGCTATCCTGCACAGCCAGGTCACACCTCAATCTCCCAAACTATGGTGTTTTCCCCAGACTCTTCTTCCCTAGACCTTTTTATCTTTAAACTTGCTTCGCAGTCAATACAATCCATACTTAGGATATGTCACATGTACTTTATTTATAGCCTGGTCACCTCTAGAGCTATCTATATGAGACCACACTATATACTGCCCCCCCAGGCCCTTAATCTACAGAATCCATCTTTATGGAAGAGGTCACATGTACTTTGCAAAAAAGTTTCAATGTAGTCACATTTTAAGTTTTATTGTGCATATGGGATTGAGACAATTGTCACCAGCAAACGTTTTTTCCAAAATGGTGCTATACTTAAATATGCCTAAAGTAAACTGCCTAATGTCAGACTAGTCTAGAATTTTGAACTAACACAGGTTACTGAGTCACAGTGAAGTGCATTTCACTTTTTGTCTCATGTGGATCGTTACTCTGCCGACCCTGGTATTGCAGAGACAGCCCCCACTCCACAACTGCTTAAGGTAAAAATGCAAATTTAAAGACTAAGACTACTATACCAACTCCAGCTGTTTCTTATGGCAATATATGAAATTTTCAAAGAACAAAAAGGCAAAAGTTTATTTAGTCACTCAAATTTTATACCTATTGAAAATTAACTGTAATATATGATATCCAATAAGTCAGTGGAAAATTAAGACCAAGCAAGTACATAAATCCTAAGGGTTAATACCATTATTAATTTGGCATTAAATTCATTCAAAACTTTCTAGCAGATTGGAAATTTTATTTATGATCATCTTCACCTAGTACAATAGAAAAGTTATCAGATCAAACTTTTTCAGTGATTAATTTTTAACATTTCATGAAGGATTTATGAAAGCTTAGTAGGAAAAATTTAAAGAATATAAATTTAACTAAAATTATTCTAAATCTAGGTCTGGAGATATGAGTGCCACAAATTGCCTAAAATGTATCAAGGTCCTGGATTTAATCCCTAACAGCTTTTTTTTTTTCTTTTTTGGTTTAAGTACATACATTGTCTATGTTCCAGATCGCTTCTGATCTCAGAAACTAAGCAGGGTCGAGTACAGTTAGTACTTAAATGGGGAAAAAAACAACAACAATATATACATCTATTTTCTGCTCCCAAATTTCTACTTTGAAATCTTTTTAAGAACACATATATTCCGTTCACTAATCATCACTCTGCTACCATGTTTCTCATTTCATTCTTTTGAGAGAGGTTAATAAAACAGGCTGGCCTAAATCTATCCCCTCCTTTTGCTTCCCAAATGCTGGAATACAGAGATACTGTAATGTGCCACCATATCTGGCTTGTATTATATTCATTAGTTTATGTAATTTTGTTTTATTTTGCTAAGCTGTCCCAAACAAAATTCTGGCCACTCCACCCATAAGTACCTCAGAGCAAGCACCTCTAATAAGTGCAGCCTCCTTCCCAACTACTCCTGTGATCGGAGCTAAGAAAATTACAGTAATTTTATCACCCAAAAGATATCCTTTGGTCCAACAGCCCTTATGAGCCCTAAAATCTTTTTTTTTTTTTTTGGCCTATTATTCAATCCAGGTTCACAAGTTCTAAGATTATTTCTCATTAATCACTTTTAATTTACAGTGTTCAAAAAAATCATTAAAGATACCAATTAATGTAGAATCCTAAAGGGATTTGTCAGAAACAAAACCGTTTTTATCTCAGAAACATTTCCCAAGAGACAGCACAGACTTTGTGGAACAAAGAAAAAGTGCAAGAAACCTGGGCTGTGTCCCAATTAAAGAAAACTCTCCAGAGACATGGGCAGCAAAATGCCCATCACATGCAGGGCTTCAGAGAAGGGTGGTCTGACAAGTACTCAAAGCCCACGTATTAATGCTAACTGCACTCCCAGAGCAGGGTTTATGTCAGTATCCTGACTAGTGTTCAAATACCGGGCGAAAAACCTGATCAGAGGCAGTGGTCACTACAAAATGTCTCCGGCACCCTATAAAAGCTGCATTTGTTTAGATAAGAGAGGAATTTCTAGGACAAGGAAGGAGAGAGATGGAAGAATTCACAGTGAAAGACCACTGGCTCCTCCTAACCCCTGGATGGACTGTCTTGGGAAAGTCTGACAACGGAAGACAGTGTGTGACAGTAACCTCTTGACTTTCCTTTTCTAGTCTCAGTTCTTGAATGTAAACAAGGAAAAATCAAAAGCATATGGTAACTGTTTTTAAAGATTCATCTGTCTATAAAGAAAAACCAATCACCGGCAATACATAAAAGGCAGATGTAATTGACAAGAAATATAGTGAACCAATCTAAAATGCTATCTTCATAATAAAGGGACTAAGTACAATTAATCACATTATTTTAAGCAGCAGTCTAGCTTTCAGATACAAAGTAGAAAATGTGATCTTAAAATAAGATTTTGTTCTCACTTAGTAATTACTAAAAACTAAACTGTATGGCATCATTAAACCAGTGAAACAACATTGTTTCAAAATGTGAGTTATAGTAGGATGTACTGCTTCACTGCACTCTCCCAGCAGTTCATCCCTAAATCTGAAGAATTCGGCAATCAAACAGATTAAGGACACCTGAAGAAAATCCAGGGCGAGGGAACAGGATGAAGAGACCTGGTCTAAGAGCTCTCCAAGGCTGTACTAGCTACTATCACAGGGTACCTTCACGCCCTAAACCTTCTTGTTACTCATCTGACAATGTCTACCCCAACAGAACCACAAAAAAGAATCTGACCAAAAGACTAGCCCGCCAACTAGTCTAGCCCAGTTGGCAAACTCCAAGTTCAATGGGAACCCCTATCTCAAACAGTTAAGCTTGAGAGAGACTGAGGAAGAGTCAACAATGACTTCAGGCCTCTATACATGTATGTACTTATAATTTTAGTTTTAAAACATCTGTTTCTAGTAGCCTCTATTGGAGTAACTTGAAAAGTCTCACAATGCCAGTCAAGGCGAGCTCTACACCTCACTGCAGGTGCTCACCTCAAGAAGGCCAGCTTTTGTGGTCACCACCAACATATCAGAATTTCCTTCATCTTCCATAGTGAGCAGCTCTTCAACTGGAGAAGCAGCTCGAAACTGGAAAGGAGTACTTGCTCCACGAATTTCACCCTTATGAGTGACGTAACAGAACTGATAAAATTCTCCATCATCATTTGGAAGGTAATATCCTAAGAGGTGGGTAACAAAAATTATTAAACTTACTATTATAAAATGTTTACTTACTAACGATACTTTCATCTCATTCTATTATAATGAACATATTTAAAATGAGTCATAGTCACAAATGTCTGAGCTACATTCTTCTCAAACATATTCCAAAGTTTTATCTCTTATATATAAGCATATATACCCATTCCCCCTTTATCTACTTTTTATTCATTTTTTATTGATGTGCATGGGTGTTTTGTCTGGGTGTATGTCTGTATACCACCTGCATTGGTTGTACCTGCAGATGTCAGGTGTCATCAGATCCACAAGCACTGGAGTTACACAGATGGTTGTGAGTCACCATATGGGAACTATAGGCTAAACCTGGGTCCTCTGCAAGAGCAGTAAGTGTTCTTAACCACTGAGCCATCTCTCCAGCCATTCTCCCATATTCTAATTATGGCAAAATCAACTCAAAGGAGTCAAGTCTGTATTTCAAAATGATAAAGAGGCTGGATAGAGAAAGGAAGACCCAATAAAAATCTAAGGATAGGGAATGAGACTCAGGAATACACGATTTAAGAAATGTTCCCTTCAATTTGACATTCATTGCTGTAAAAAAAGAAATATTAACTAGGATATTATATATCCTAAATATAATATAGGAATGTGCTATATATATGAACTGTGTAAATGCAAAAGAAATGACAAAATTCATTAGTGCAGCACAAGAAAAGTATGATTTGCAACTTCAGAGCTCTATTTAGGATATGCATGAAGCCATCTAAGTTCTTTAAACTCTACAGATGTGTTTATAGCATTACTATACGAAAAATACCATGTTTAATACTTAGTTTCTTCTTTTTCAATCTGTACCCTCCCTTTTAAATTTTGCTGAAATGTCCTAATTCAAAATTAATGTTCACCTCTTTAAATATCACACAAAATTTCTTTTTACCTAAAGAAACCTTCAATTCTATACTCTACATTACTATTCACAAAGTACACACCTTTGGGAGTAGGGAGGCTAGGGGGCATTAGAGATTGAACGTGGGCCTCACTCAAGCTAAGCAAGTGCTTTACCATTGAGTTACATCCTAAATCCTTGAAAAAAAAAAAAAGATGTAAAGACATGGCTACAAACTTATAATCCTTCTGCATTGCTTCCCATATAGCTGGAAAATACTTCCTCGTGCCACCACACCCAGTTTTGTACACGCTTTATATCATAGATCTTCAAAACACTGACGACAAATGTACACACTGAGGAGCAGATGCATATTTAAGTGAATATAGTAGATATGGATGAATGAATCCTAGACTCAGTGACTGATAAAAAGGAAGACACAAAGACGAGTATATTCACAGAAACTACCCCAAAATCTAAAATCTATACCTACTAACTTATGTCCTAAAATTTTTAAATACATTATTATTATACTTACTTAATTTTAATTTTAACCCTTTAAAAAAAATAGGTGGTTTTTCTCCTTAGAAACAGACAGACAGAATACAAGACAAACCAGAAAATTTTTTGTGGTACTTAGTGAACAAAATTAGGCCTTAAAATACATTTGAATTAGCCAGGTGGTGGTGACACAAGCCTTTAATTCCAGCACTCAGGAGGCAGAGGCAGGCGAATCTCTGTGAGTTCGATGCCAGTCTGTTCTTCAAGAGCTAGTTACAAGACAGGTTCCCAAAGCTATTGAAAAACCCAATCTCAAGGAAGAAAAAAAAATTGAATTGCATTTATATATTTGTTTGAAGAGCATGTTGTGGTCAGAGGACAACTTTCAGGAGTCCCTTCTTTCCTACCATGTGAGCCCCAGGAAGCAAACTTAGCCATTAGACTTCTTTACCTGCTTATCATCTTACTGACCCTCAAAAATAAATTTGAAAAGATATGAAAGGATAAAAGGGCATAGCAGAAAAAAAAATGGCACCCAACCTGAGGCTCTAAGGGCCAACACCAGAGCAATTTCAACAACTACTTTACTACTTTAAAGTACACAATATTTAAAATTAGTATCAGGCTCTATTTCTTAGGAAAAAAACGAGTTCACAGAAAAGGATAAGTCTAACATAATTTCAACTAAGGTACAAACTGTGTGCACTTCTCAGTAAACACAATAACTCTTATAAAAAAAATGTACTGAAGGATACTGAAATTTGTGGCCGAAACATAAAGAGAAACAAGATATTTTCATAGTTTTAAAGTAGCTCACTCTATAACATTGTTTCATTACAAAGAGAAAACTACAAACTTTAAGGTAGCAGAGTCCAGACAGCATCAATGACCTGATAAACACCAGCAGCAATAGATGTATAAGCACTCTCAGACACAATGCAGTGACTATGACACTCTCCCCTCATAATGTGTAATCTTGGTATTACCGTGAGAAAAACAGCAAATTAATCCCACATGAGACACGCTCAAGGGTAATCCTCAAAGATGACAAGACACCAAGGAGATTAAGATTTGACAGATATATGCAATATGGGATTAGGGTTGGTGCTAACAACAGGAAGAGAGCATCAATGGAAACACTGCTAATACCTAAGCAAAAGGTGTGCTTTAATTAAAAGTATGGCAACTCAGCAACTGGCTAAAATCACTTGCTGCTCTTACAGAGAACACGGGCTCAATTCCCAGCCCCCACATGGTGGCTCACAGTCATCTCTAACTCAGTTACATGAGATTCAATATCTTCTTCTGGTCTCTGGATACCACTCACCCACATGGACACATAGACCTATATGCACGCAAGACATCTATACACAGAAAATTAAATCAACAAATTTAACACAAATTAAAACAAAACAAAAATAAAAATAAAATATTAAAATATTATTTAAATTTAATTTAAATAATAAATTATTTAATTTATTTTAAATATTTAAATTATTTATTTATTTTAAATAAATTTAAAATATTAAAACAAAAATAAAGGGCCAAAATCATGGCTTAGTTAATAAAGGCACTATTCACCAAGCCTGACAACCAAACCTGGCAACCTGAGTTCAATCCCAATGCCCATCCATATATTAGGAGTGAATCAATTCCTCTAAGTTGTTTTCTGACTGCTGCATGTTTTTAACAGACAGACACACATAGACACAGTAAATGATTTTTTTAACAAAAAAGTTTAAAAGAAAAACAACCCTACAATATAGACGATATTCTTGTATAAAACCTTAAAAAAACCCTAAAATAATCTTCTTTAAAAGTATTTCAAATAAATGTATTCAGTGCTACAATTTAAGACTATTTGCTAGAAAATAAAGCACAACCAAGTAAAAAAAAATTAGTCAATCTGTAATGTGACATTAGTATTCAGTAAAATACACATAAAACTCAAACTAAAAACACTACTGAATTTGTAAAACTTCTTTACTGTTCCTGTGCTTGGCATCCAGGAAAATATCTTCAGGTAAAGAAAAATAAACTGGATGTGTTTGGTATATTTGCTAAGTCACTAATAAATGTATTAGCCACTAGAACAAATTCAGTTAAGTAATTCTTAAAAGAAAAACATTCACAATAAAGACAGAGGGTCAGTCAGTGGTAGTACACACCAGGCAGGTGTAGCTCTGAGTTTGAGGTCAGCCTGGTGTACAGAGTTGAGTTCTAAGGCACCCAGGTCTACACAGAGAAACCCTGTTTGGCGGGGGTGGGGTGAGGATGACAGATTGAACAGAAATAAATTCACATCTTTTAAGAAAAAAAATGAAATGTGACAAAAAGAGCTCTAGCATATATTTAAATTTAATCATCTAAAAAAGTCCATATGTAGGGCCTGGAGAGATGGCTCAGCGGTTAAGAGGACTTGACTGCTCTTCCAGAGGTCCTCAGTTCAATTCCCAGAAGCCACATGGAGGCTCACAATCATCTATAATGGGATTATATTTCCTCTTCTAGTGTGCACGAAGGTGTGCATAAAGACAGAGTGCTCATATACATAAAATAGATGACAGGATTTCAGAAATTGAATTGTTACATAGAATATTTTTAAAAGTCTATATATTAAAAGATTAAGTAGAGACATAAACATGTTTCTGGTTGATGGCAAGAGTGGAGCACTGAACTCAGGGTCTTGTGCATGCTAAGCACATCACCATTAGGCTATACTCCCAGCCCCTAAATAACAGTTGAGAACCCAAGTCTTGTCTTTATTAATAGTACAAATGTTATACTGTGTGGGCCAAAAAAAAAAAAAAAAGAAAAAAGAAAAGAAAAGAAATGCCTGTGTATGTGTGTTTTGAGTTGGTTCTCTTCTTCCACCTTATATTTTAGACACAGGTCTCAAGTTTCTGACTTCTGTATCCACTTCAGACTAAACTGTGAAGTTCTAGTATTACAGGCCCATGTCATACATTTTTTTTAACTGAGTTCCAGCTTAGCCAAGCATGGTGTTACATGCCTATAAACCCCAGCAGCACTCAGGAGGCTGAGGAGGAGGATCACAAGTCCATGGCTACCCTTGGCTACAGCAAAAAACCCAACACTCATATTCATTCCTATTCTCTTTCTCCCTCTCTGCATATGTGTATATACATGTGTGTGTATATATATATATATATACACACACATGTATATGTGTGACTCTGGTAATCTGAATATGGCCCCCGTACGCTCATGTATCTGCATGTTTGGTCTTCAACTGATAGAACCATTTGGCATTAGGAGATGTGACTGTATTGGAAGAGGTGTGTGTCACTGCGGGCATGCTTTAAAGTTTCAAAGGTCCCACCATTCCCAGTTAGCTCTTTCTGCCTTGTGTTGTCTCAGCTCTCAGCAACTGTTGCAGTGCCCTGCCTGCTACCATTCTATACACATGACAATCATGGGTGCTCGCTCGCTCACGCTCTCTCTCTCTCTCTCTCTCTAACTGTAAGCTCTTGTATAAGCTGCCTTGCTCACAATACAGTAATAGAAAAGACAGATAAGTGTCCTTTTATCCTATCTTTTGAGACACACAGTACATGTTCATTATCTATAGTCCGTCTAGAGCGCAACCATAGCACAATAAAACCTTTTACTCTTCAGGGGGTGGCGGCACATGTCTTTAATCCCAGCACTCGGTAGGCAGAGGCAGGCGATCTCTGTGAGTTCGAGGCCAGCCTGGCCTACAAGAGCTAGTTCCAGGATAGGCTCCAAAGCTTGAAAAACCAAAAAACAAACAACAACCAAAAAACCCACACTTTTATTCTCACTGAGAAGATAAACTTTGGTCTAAGGACCCAAGATGAAAATCTCTCAGGAACTGTTTCTCAGTGCATAAATAAAGTCACATTTCTTTTCTTCTAAGCTACTGCTAATAAACACAATAGTGGACTTGTTAAAGCCACAGATACACATTCCTAAGAACTACTAATCCCAAAGGAGCCAGAAAGAAGACAACAGCCCTAAAAGAAGGGCACGCTAGCTTTATGTTCCTCACAAATACAAGTGACAAATCAAAAGCTGGAATAAACGAGAGTCTTTTAAAAGTAAAATGAATGAGTATTAGGGAAACTTGAACTTCATCCTTGGTTGATACTGTTCCCTAGATATGCAACCAATCCTCAGCTTTTGTGTGAGAATATATACTTCTGTCTTCTTACTTGTCTCCCTCCCCCTCTTAATACTTACATATAAATTGTGCTGTATTGTGGTGGTCTGAAAGAAAATGGCCCCAACAGAGGTGTGGTCTTGTTGGAGGAAGTATGTCATTGTGGGGGTGGGCACTGAGATCTTTTTTTTTTCTCAAGGGTTACTTCAGAGCAATACTTCAGTCAACTTCATGTTGGCTATAAGATGTAGAACCATGCACCATGCCTGCCTGCAAGCCCTCATGTACTCTGTCATGATGGACTGAATCTCTGAACTATAAGCAAGCCACCACATTACATGTTTTCTTTTTAAGAGTTGCTGTGGTCATGCTCTCTTCACAGCAATGGTAATCCTAGCTAAGACATACATCAAAACCATTTCTTAAGAAATTCCAAGTTTGCTTCATTTAAAAAAGAAAAGCATTCTGAGTAGCTATGAAAACAGTGTGTGCCCTACATTTAGTATTTACATTCACCTGATTTTCACTCAACAAAGACACTCATTTAGACATGCCTGAAACAAATAACAACAATACAGGCAGCTAGCTTGATCAAGTCCTTCAGTTTTGAGCTCTTACCTTGAAATGCAAGTACACAATTGACAGTTGATCCTTCCACATAATGCTCAGGCATAGGAGACCACAGAAATGTGTAATAATCACGAGCAGTACTCCAGCCAACCTAAAGGAGAAAAATTTAACAAGGGATTTGAGTAAATATCTTAATATTAGCTAGATACAGCATTTGTATTACATCCTAAAATTAAAATATGTATTTAATGCTTACAAATCTAGTGTTAACAGGCATGTCCAATTTTGATTTATTAAACTGTGACCTAAAGCTGCATCAATTCACATAAACTGATTGACGTTTCTACTATATATTCAAATGCAAAGTGCTATCTAATTTCTCCAAGACAATTCACATACACACACAAAGTCTTCTATTTTATTTAAAATATTTATGCCACTAGACACTGTAGATTTGCGTGAGTGTTGTGTGTGCAGAGGTGTATATATAACCATAGAGATGCCAGAGGTCAATGTTGAGTGTCTTCCTCAATTGCTCTTCATCCTGTTTTATGAGACAAGGTCTCTCGCTGATCCTGAAGCTCACCAATTTGGCTTAACTAGCTGGTCAGCAAACCCTAGATGTCCTTTTGTCTCTGTCTGCCCAACACAGGCATTACAGACATGTAGACCCAGCTTTATGACATGGGTGCTAAGGATCCAAAATCAGGTCAACCATGGCAACTTACTGATTAAGCCATCTTCCTAGCCCCCACCTTGTGGACTTTAAGTAACTTATTGCTTTACACCTCATACTTAGGGTTTATTTGGGGTTCTGTTGCTGTTGTTTGTTTTTCTTTTTTTTAATGTAGACACTTTCTTATAACTTAAATCCACTGATCTCTCACCTACGCAAGTTTTGCCTAAAAGCAATCTATAAATTTTGGATGGAGGGAGTAATTACATTCTTAGAGATCATTTACACCACTTACTAACAACATATTTTCACCTAACAACATTTTCAGCCTGGAGGTATACAAGAAAAGATGTTCAAAGCACATTGTGCACTCATGAGAAATGTCCTTACATAATCCAGTACAACACACAACGAATACATAATATAGTCAACTTCATGTTGGCTATAAGATGTAGAACCATGCACCATGCCTGCCTGCATGCCCTCATGTACTCTGTCATGATGGACTGAACCTCTGAACTGTAAGCAAGCCAATTAAATATATGTAATATTTTCAACTTAAATATATACACTACAAATTTCAAATTGTGTTTTCTAAAAGCTTATATAGTATAATTAGAGATAAGTTTAAAGTAAGTACACTGTTAGCAACATTACATAAAACTACATCCAACACAGGCTTAGATTACATATTCTAGGATTTTCGTAGGCTTTCTTTACTGTATGTGTGTGTCTGTATACACAAATGCACTTGCGCACACATACCATCAAACATCTTTCCTTCTGGGGACTGAACTCCGGCTGCCTGCCTTGGTGTTATTTTATGAGCTATCTTCACCAGCCCCACGTCCTAAGATTTTGATTAACCTCAGTTTACAGACAAAATAATATTGAGCTGTGTTCTATTAATGAGAGCTAACTGAATCTTAAAGTTCAAAGCTCTCAACCACTGACGTGCTCCTCACTTTTCCTGACAGAATAGAGGGCTCTTTATAACTTTTGAAACTCCACCTCTTTCCTTCCAGTACTGGCACTATGAGTATTTAATTCTTGAAAGAAATACATGGTAAGACAAAAAAATAGAAAAAGTGTTTTTCTTTTGTCTGCACTGAGAAAAATACAAACTGTTTCAAAAAGCATCCTTTACCCAATGAGTGAAAGTCAAAGTGAAGTAACATGGAGGAGACTGAGCAGCCCATGCTCTGCTCCCAGGCAGCCACCGATTTAACAGGGCATAACCCAGAAAATCCTTTGAGAGGGCTCCAAATGCCCATTACAAAAACAAGCACTGCAGGCGAGCTAAAGTTCAAGAATAGCTACACTGCAAAACAAAAAAAAAGATTTGTTTTCTAACAACCAAAGAGCTCTTTCCCCTCAGTAGGCACAACTGAGGGGGTCAGGAAAGGGTGGGACATGCACCTAACACTTTGACTTTGTGATGGACTGTGCAAGTTTGGGCCTCACCTAACTTGGCACTGACAAAACCCGGATACTTCGGGTGTCTCGAAGCACTGTTGCAAAGGGACTGTTCAACAGCCCATTGCAACAGAGAACATGCAGTACCACAGACAGACACAAGAGGGAGAACGAGAACAAAGTCCTGAAACAGGCGATGCTTTTTGGTCGGGAAATTGCACAAAGGGGCCACAACACATCCCAGTAAAAGACTTAACAACCTTTGGGCAGAGTATATGGTGCAAATCTTTCCTGTACAATACAAGCCTAGAATGATCAAAGAGGAGGCTTCTTTACGCAATTCACAAAATGGGAAAATTCTTCTGAAGAATGGGAGGTTCAAAGGGAGAAAATAAATCTTAAGACACGATATTAAGCTGAAATAACCTCAAGAAATAGAGTTCGATGTATTATCTGGCCAACAATCCAAGATAATTTTTTAATGAAGTTCAATGCACTGCCAAAAAGCTACAGTAATCAACTCTACAAAAACAATGAAGTATAACATAGAGAGACAGACAGACAGTCACCTATGGAGATGGGGAATACAATAACTCAATTGAAAAATTCACAACAGGGTTTCCACAACTGATCTAAGCAGAATAAAGATTCTAAAAGCTTGACCCAACATCAACTACACAGCAAATCTGTGCCCTCCTGCGTAGGCTGCATTAAGACAGTTTTTTGTTTGGTATTTGTTTCGAGCCAGGGTCTCCCTACACAACCCTGGCTGTTCTGGAACTCAGTATGTAGACCAGGCAATCCTAGAACTCAAGAGATCCACCTGCCTTTACCTACTGAGGGCTGAGATTAAAGGTGAGTGCCACCACGCCAGACAAAGACCCGGAGGGAGGGAGGAAGGTTCAGAGAGATAGTTCAATGGGTAAAAGGTTTGCCACCAAACCTGACAACCCAATCACTGAGCCCCACACGGTAGGATAGGACTTATGAAGATTGTCCTCTGATCTACACAGACACACACAGTGGCACTAGCACAATGTACACATAAAATTGACTAAAAGTAAGTAAAATTTTAATAATAACTGATTATTATGGAAAAAGAGGTTAAGCATAAGAAGCTTACTAATAAAAATAGCAAATAGGGTGCTTTAACCCCATGACTAATGAGGCTGAGAAAAGATTGTGAATTCAAGACCAACCTAGGCAATAATATTACAAGACTCACAAACAAACAAAAAGGCAAAAATATATTGAGGAGTTCTAGAAAGAAACAGTCTTAGAGTATTTGTGCAAATAGCAGCTGAAACTTACAGTATATATAAAAAATGAGCAAAGTAAAAAAATTCAAAATAGTAAAACACGGTGGTCTAAGCCTAGAGCTCCAGAATTTGAAAGGCTGAGGTAGCCTGGGCTACAGTGAGTTTGAGAACAGGCTGGACTACATAGCAAGATCCAATATCTAACGAAACAAAACAAAACAGGGCCTAACTATTCTTTAACTAAGATAAGTCCAAAAAGAAACATTATCAAGCTGTCAAAGGTCTTCTGAGGAGTAGGTGAAAGTACGATGTCATACAAGAATCTCTACAGATTTCTCAGCCAATACATACAATGCAGAGGGCACCTCTATCATACTATTATGGATGGCTTATATCACTTCTTCCAACAAAAAATATTTTTGTTTTGTTTTGGTTTTTCAAGACAGAGTTTCTCTGTACTTTTGGAGACTGTCCTAGAACTAGCTCTGTAGGCTGGGATTAAAGGCATACGCCATCACCACCCAGCTTCAACTAAAGGTTTTGAGAAGAAATAAAACACGCAGTTTTAGATCTACTCTCCACAGCAATTAATTTCGTTCATCTCTACAAAGCAGGTTTATTTGTGGTAACGGCACAAGAGTTCTCAAAATAAGGGGCAGAGATCTTCACATGGAGGCCTAAGCACCTTTGGGAGCCTGTGCTGGCGTTGGAGCAAAAACTGTAACCTGGGCTCTGGACCTTGGTGTTTTGTGGGCTGAGCCTGTGATTCTTGGCAATATGTGCTCAAGCATGCACCAAAAGTAGGGGTAATGAGAGCTAGTTAACAGAACTTGGCCACTGACACCCTTGGATTTACCTTTGGATTTTACCTCTGGATTTTATCTTCAATACCAGACTCCATACTTAAGGAGAAGGTCGCATAATGGCCTCAAACTTGCTACTAACTGAAGCTTGGCCTTGAACTCCTGACCCTCTGCTTCTACCTCCCAAGTAGAAGCAGCACTTGGGAGGTGGAAGCAGGAGGATCAAGAGTTCAAAGTGAGTCAGAGCTGAATAGTGAGCCTGAAGGCTGGCTCAGGCTTCCTGAGTTACAAGACATCTTGTCTAAAAAAACAAAAAAAGAGAGCTGGAAAACAGCTCAGTGGTTAAGAGCACTTGCTGCTCTTACAGGGACCAGGATCAGTTCGCAGTATCCACATGGCAGCTCACAAGCTTCTATAACTCAGTTCCATGGGATCTGATCCTCCTTCTGTTCTCTTCAGGCATCAGGCAAAATTGTAATTCACATACATAAAGGCAAAATACTCACACACAGAAAAGTCACTAAATGTTAGGGGAATAAATTTAAGGTTCAACCCAGCACTGTGTTTACTCCTATAATTCAGCTCTCAGGAGGCTGAGACCAGAGGGCTGCTACAAATTCAAGGTTTGCAAGGACTACACAAACAGTCCTTAGCTACACAGCGAATCTCAAAACAACAAACAAGTCTTACTCATTTCTCCTGACAGTCTCACTTCTGAGCCACTGTCATTCTTAGGAATCCTTCCCTCTCTTCCAGTCACATTTCTCTCTGACCTGACCTATTTCTTCAGGAAATCCCAGTTCTCAAACAGTATCATTACCTTAATACTACTATCTCACACAGATTCAAAACTAACACTAGAGTTTCATAAAATGCTTCAATGACTATATATCTCTGGTTTTGGAATCTGAGGTGCCTTAAGGGACACAAAGTAAGTCTCAAACTAGCTACTGAGGAGTATCAAAGAATGAAGGATTCAATAGGGTATGGTGGCCCATGCACGTAATCCCAATACTTGAAAGGGTTAAGCAGGCTGAATTGTCTTTTTGGAGCAGTCTAAGGTGTACAGAGAATTCCAGCCCACTCTGAGGTACAGAGTAAGACTTTGTCTCAAAACACCACAAGAAAGCACCCCTTGTTAGATGCAAATATTATTTTGCTGCCTTCCATCAGGTGAACTTTCACTTCTAGACTCTTAATGTGCCAACTTGTTCTTTCTTGCTACTTAATTTATACAGATGAGACAATCGCATTTCAATCCAAATTTCAATTTGAAATCGTACGTATGTTTGGCTACCCGTGAATTACTTTCACTAGTCATGACAATGTTTGTTCTCTACTATACTCCGAAGAGCCAGAAAATTACAGAAAACCTCCAGCACCATGAATACCAAAGTAGTAACCACTGAAGCATAATTTTCAAGTAAATATTATGAAAAATCATTGATGACTATATGAACCAGCCAACAAAGAATTTACTGTCCTCTCAAGTAAAATGGAATAGTTACCTAAGAATAGGACAGCTACAGTGCGAGCAATATTTAAGTGATACATGGCAAAAGAGGTGCTACGTGGCTACATAGCTGCACAAAATCAATCACAAATCACTAAAGACAGTAGACAATTTGAGGATCTAAAGAAATGAGTAGGTTTTCCCTCTCTAAGTGTGAAATGAGAGAAAAATTAGAATATAAAAAAAGATTGTGAGTTGAAGATGCAGCTCCTTGTACAGTACTTTCCCATGAAGCCCTAGGTTCAATCCCCAGTACAGAAAACACATGTTTATGCACACACAGAATGATCCTATAAAGTTTTTGATGTGGGATATCCTTCTGTATATGTGTTGCTTTAACTGGTTAATGAATAAAGCTCTTTTGGCCAATTGCTTAGCAGAGCAAAGTTAGGCATGAAATTCAAAGAGAGATAGAGAGAGTAGGCCGAGTCAATAAGACGCCATGTAGCAGTCCAAGAATCAAGTGGTTAACAAACTACAAGCCTCTTGATAAAATATAAAATAACAGAAATGAGTTAATTCAAGACGTAAGAATTAGTTAATAAGAAGCCTGAGCTAATAGTCCAAACTGTTCTAATTAATAAAGTTTTTACGTGATTATTCAAATCTGGGCAGCTGGGAATTAAAGAGCAGTCTCTGCTTAACAATGGTGACAATGTGAGGGAACTACATCCACATAAAACCTCAGAGTTTGGGAAGGAGTTTAAAGTTTAACAGAGTTTAAAGGCAACATAGACCCGCTGCATCCCTGGAGCTGGGGCAGTGAGTATGGCTCGCAGAAGCCGTGAACATACCTCTGCCATTATGGATGGGCGGAGTCAGCAGGCAAAGACACAGCATTAATCCTAGCCATGCCTGCTTACCGTTTAAAAAAAAGACAAAAACAAAAAAACTCTCCTTGTCAGAAATTGATCCCAGATACACAGTAAGACAGATTGAGATGACAAAGACCTCTGGAATTAATCACTGAGTTGGGTAAATGTACACAGGCTTAGGAGAGTGAGAAAAAGAGCATACATACAGACAGTTATAGATTAAAGGAGTAAAAAAAAATTAAGGCACACATAAGGATGGAATATACACAGAAAGTCTGGGTTATGTGTATTATTGTATTTTCTTTGGGTTTTTTTGACTGTTAATGAATTAGCTGCTGAAAAACATTTGATTCTGAAGGCTTCTAACCTAATATATATTTTAAAGGTATCTTGACTTCAAAATTTGAGCCTAAGAATATGTTACTTTGGAAAAGAGATTCTGCCTTTGTTTCCACAAAAGATGAGACCAGTGGATTCCTTCAAGGATAATGTGATTTGCTAGAACAAGACCCCCTTCAAAAGTCTTCATGAACCCTAAAAATACTTAGCCCAACAAATAGCAGGAAGCAGCTTGGAGAAAACTATGCCCAAAGTCCCAAAATGGTTGTTTATAAATGTTTGCATTCATTTAAAGGTGAATATGATATAGAAATGAATACTTTACATTGGTATGGACTTTGGTCTATTGATACAAATTTAAGGTTGATTTGTTATACTATATATATATATATTTCTGCTCTTGTTTAAGGTACTGTGTTTGTGAAGCTTATTTTAAAATGTAATGTATAGATTTGTAATAGTCAAAACTCGTAGTCATGTTAGGTTTTCTAGATATACAGAGATACATTTCAGTTAAATAAATAATCTTTGACATATCAAAGACCTATAGAATATGGCATTTAAAAGGTTTTAAGAACTTAGACTTTTCTCAACAATGAGACATGTCTGCTTCAGGTGACAACAATTTACTTCAAGAGGATGATGGGCACTGAAGAAACTTGTTATGGAATTTGCCTTCAATGTGACAAGGCTAGCCATTTGGGTAAGAAACTGCTCTTGCCTGGACTACTTGACAGTATGCTGTATATACTGGACATGGAGCACCCACAGAAAAATGACTGCTGAACTAGACAAAATGTGAGACAGTCCTTCAGGGTTCCTGCTTCATGAAAGAGTCTGTCAGACATTCTGTAGGACACAGAAGAAAGTGACTGACAAACTGCCAATACAGGTGAAACTGTCTTTCAAATTTCCTGCTTCATGAAAAAGTCTGTCAGATACTATGGGCCTGTAGGCTGAAGATAGATGCCCCAACATAACAGAAGAACTGCTAACTGTCCAGGCAGTGAGAAGTGTCTGTCAGTTCTAGAGTTTTGGAAATTGCTTACAATGTACTTTCTGTTTACTTAGGTAATATCACATCCTTCTAGAATCTTTGATGGAGTTGAAGACAGACAATAGTTTTCCTTAGTTATGATAAAAGATAAAGTAGATGCAAAACTTTAAACTCACAAAGATGAGATAGATGATAGAATATTTTAATTTTTACCTTATACAAATAGATTAAATATTACAACTGTAACTCTTGCTTGTGTAATTTTACTATATTAAAGTTAAAACCTTCCTTTTTGTTTAGACAGAAAAGGGGAAATGATGTAGGATGTCATTCTGTATATATGTTGTTTTTATTGGTTAATGAATAAAGTTGTTTTGACCAATGCCTTAGTAAAAGTCAGGTGGGAAATCCGAACAGAGATATAGAGTAGGCAGAGTCAAGGAGACACCATGTAGTACAGTAGCCCAATGATCAAGAGGTAAAAAAACCACAAACCTTGTGGCAAAATAAAAATAATATAAATGGGTTAATTTAAGATGTAAGAGCTAGCTAATAAGAAGCCCGAGTTAATAGGCCAAACACTGTTGTAATTAACATAATTTTTGTGTCATTATTCGAATCTGGGCAGTTGGGAATGAAAGAGTAGTCTCCACTTAAAAGTTTTCACAAATATCTTACCCAAATTGGATCTTTTAAACACAGAGAAGAAAATTTAAGGAATTTAATTTTCAGTGTTTAAATGAATGATGTTTAAATAGTTTGTAAACAGTGATGTTTACAAAACTGAACCTTTTGGCCCCGGTTGGGCTTTTTGTTTGTTTGTTTGGTTGGTTTTGGTTTTTCAAGACAGGGTTTTTCTGTGTAGCCCTGGATGTCTGTCCTAGAAATCACTCTGTAGACCAGGCTGGTCTCAAACTCACAGAGATCCATCTGCTTCTGCCTCCCGAGTGCTGGGATTAAAGGTATGTGCCACTACTGGCATAAAATTGAAATTTTAATATGTTTGTTAAGAAAGGCTAGTATAAGAGAAAATATGCAGGTTATAGGGAAGTCTCCTCATGTAAAGGTGCCAGCCTCCAAGCCCGATGACCTGAGTTCAATCCCCAAAACAAACATGGTAGAAGGAGTAAACCAACTCCTGTAAGATGTCCTCTGACTAGACACAAACCATGGCATTGTACACCCACTGACATACACACACACACACACAAAATAAAAGTAATTTCTAAAAAGATAAAATAAAAATAATCTACAAGGAAGACAACATTTTCAGAAGCTTTTCTTACCTTGAATATACCAACCCAGTCTTTGGGATGTGGATGGATATACGGAGTTAAGGTGTAATGACACTCCAAGTGTGCATTAGGAAGGTAACTTTTAGCCACATTTTGAAAGATGACATGAGCAAAGTTGGAAGTCTGCAATGGGACTTCTTGAAAGGATGTCATTGTGAATCTGAAAAGAATAATTCATACAAGTTAAACACTGTCAACTAAGAATAAACTTACACTTTAAAAACCTATGTAACTTTTGGGACTGGGATACAACTCAGTGTGGGTTCAGTGCTTGTTCCTTGTGTATGAGGCCCTAGGATTAACCCCAGCATCACACACACAAACACAAATATAGCTGTCAATTCTAATTTTAAATATTTGTATGTCTTAAACATGAGAAATATTCCTTTAAAATGTGATCAAATACAAAAATAAAATTTAAGAAACAAAGCTAGTATGATTTAGGAAGCTATAAGAGTTTAAAAGTCAAAAAATAGATCTGTCTCAAAACCAAATTCAACTCTAGACAATGCAGCTCTCCTGGAAAGCCAAGCCCTCTGCTTCTATTCTAACATAAATCAAAGAAACCATCAGTATTTTAATGTAGACTCTACCAACATAAACCTGTTGGCCTCTAGCAATAGGGGAGGGAAGGGAGAAATGAGGGGGGGGGGCTAAGGATGAGGGACGGACAGTTAAGTATCAGTATTTTAGGGGCTGGAAAGATGGCTTAACCAATAAGGGCACTGATAGCTCTTCCAGAGGACCTAGGTTCAATTTCTGGTACCCAGATGGCCATTTACAACTGTTTATAGCTCCAATTACAGGGAAACCAGCATACTCACACAGACATACATGCAGGCAAAACATCAATGCACATAAAATAAAAATAAATAAATTATTAAAAAATAATTATCAGTATTTTATTAAGTATTGTTGAATTAATTCTTCCTTTCTGTACAGAATCCTTGAATACTATGTTCCCCTCATAACAGATTTTAGAGTTTGAATTACCCTGCTGCTAACATTCTGCTTGTATTCTCATCCAGTATTGTGAAAGCCTGGATCATTACTTCTCACTCCTTCTTTCATATTAGAACCATAAGGGCCTTTAAAAAGAAAACAACCACAGTGATTCTATGCACATGCACACACTCCCCTACCCCACCCAGTCTCTCTAAATACCCTTATCTCTTTATGCAGCCAAATAGAAAACCAGTTTTTTAACTTTGTAAGTATGTAAACTTTCTCAGTTGGTTACTTAAGATAATCCTACTTGCCAGTGATGGTAACTCATGTCTTTAATCCCAGCACTCGGGAGGCAGAGGCAGGTGGATCTCTGAGTTTGATGCCAGACTAGTTTACAGAGTGAATTCAAGGATGGCCAGGGTTACACAGAGAAACCCTGTATCAAAAAAAAAAAAAATCCTACTTGTTCCTCTACCTGTATTGATATTATCCTTTCCTTCTGGGTTTAATATCTCTAAAATCAAAAACAAAACCTACCTTAACTCTTAGTAGGCATTTACTTTACCTATGCACATACTTAGGAAAAATAAGTAGGCAGTAACTAAAAACATATATAAAAGTGATGCTACACAGACTGAGCAGGTTATATTTAGGTTTATAAACAACAACAACAACAAAAACAAATCAAAAACAACAACAAAAGACTGTCTGGTCTTATAAAAGAAGTCTACCTAGAAGCCAGAGGGGAGGCACATACTTTCAAATACCATCTAAACTGGATACCAGTTCAGATCTCTGAACTTAAGGCAAGATTACGTTCTATTTACTCTATCCAATTTACTTTCCACCAAGCTATGCGGAATATCTTAATTTAATTTTGGGTGCATAAACCTAAGTTTATAATTCAATGTATCTAAATTTCTGCAAGTACTTATGTTATTTTTTAAATGATCATGTTGATATAAACCTCATTTTAATAATCCCTTCCCCAAATTCATATTTTGCTTGTTTATTTGTATTTTGCTTTGGGTTTTTTTGTTTTTTTTTAGTTTTTTAGTTTTTCAAGACATGGTTTCTATATGTATCTTTGGAGCCTATCCTGAAATTTGCTTTGTAGACCAGGCTGGCCTTGAACTCACAGAGATCTTCTTGCCTCTGCCTCCTGAGTGCTGGGATTAAAGGCATGGGTCACCACCACCCAGCCCAAACTCGCTTTTACTAATCAAAAAAATAAAAAAACAAGGAGACTGGAGAGATGGCTTGGTGGATAAAGTACTTGCTTTAGCATCAGTACCTCAGTTCGTATCCTCAGGTACATACTTATAAACCCCAGAACTTTGGGAACAAAGAAAGACAAAAACATAGGAGCTCACTGGCCAGCCATTCAAGCTGAATGAGCAAACTTCAGGTTCAAAGAAAGACTATCTTCAAAACAAATATAATGGAGACCCACAGAGGAAATAACATCCACCTCTGACTCCCACACTAACACACAGAAAGATCTGGGAATGTACTGAGTTGGTAGAGTATTTACCTAGTACACATGAAGCCCTGAGTTTTTTCCTTAGGAGAATAGAAATATAAAATCAATGCTATTAAAGCTATGGAAATATTTTACAAAAGTCATTTTATTACTATTATTTTAGCTTATTTTTTACCTTTATTAAAACACAGTTAAGCATGGATAAATATAACATGAATCATTAATTTTAAATTAGAAAAAAGTTTTCACTCCTACACAGTAAGTCTGCTTCACTCTTCCCACAGGTAAGAAAGAAACTGAAATAACAAGAAAGCTACTAAAAATATTGGAATTCACTGAAAATGCCAAAGTCACAAAAGCATATAGTCCAGTAGAGAAGCAATGTGCAAAGCCCCCACATCACCATGTGGTAATGCCTGGAAGGGTAGCTTCACCACCATTCAGGGCAAACAGGCCCTGCTTAGCTGGACGGTCAGGCAACTTCACCATACCAGACAATACCTCCTTGTCTCTAAAGCCTATCCACAGAAACAGTACAGTAAGTTGGGAGGCCAAAGGTAAATAAAAAATTCCCAGTCACTAATTGAAGAGCCTGACATCTACGTCTAGAAATCAATGCCTGAAATGCTACAGTGAACGCTTTCTACCACACAACTCCTTTAAGCGTGTCAGGCTGTAAACTATACTCTGACAATATCGGGTCGTGACCCCCTTAGGTGTCAACCAACACTTTCACACGGGTCTCCTGAGACCATCAGAAAACACATATATTTCCAGATATTACAGATATTTACAATTTGTAACAGTACCAAGATTACAGTTATGAAGTAGTAACAAAAATAATTTTATGGTTGGGGTCACCACAACATGAGGAACTGCATTAAAGGGTTGCAACACTAGAAAGATTGAGAACCACTGCTCTATGACATCTTTGCACTAAAACCCAATTTTATTATTTCTAGAATTCGCTAATATCTATAGAAAAGGTAAATAAGAGCGTGTAGGCATTCAGCTAAGCAAATGGCTAAAATTAAAAAGGGGAAAGTATTTCAATGTCATCTTTACTTACTGCTCCTGGACTTTTACAAGCCCCAAACAGAAGAGCTTTGTGTGGTATTGTTTCTTCCAGTAGCTCCACATGAAGTTAAAGCTAGGCTTTTTAGTCAACACAATGGTGGTGTATGTCTTTAAGCCCAGCACTTGGAAGGCAGAGGCAGGGGGATCTCTGAGTTCGAGGCCAGCCTGGTCTACAGAGCTAGCACCAGGACAGGTAGGGCTGTTGCACAGAGAAATCCTATTTCAGGATAGATAAACAAATAAATAAATAAATAAATAAATAAATAAATAGCCCGTCTTGGCTTTTTGAATTTAGGCATTCACCTATCCTACCAATTAAGCTTTCAAAAAAAAAAAATCTCTGTATGAGACAAAGTATTTTTTTAAAATCATCATTAGCTACTACATTAATTACAGGTGAAAAGCCTTGATTTCTAGCATTTGATTTAAAAACTCCAGAAGGAAAAACAAATGTGTTGGGAGTTGGGGTAACAAAATAACAGCAAAAAAAAAAAAAATCTTAATTTCACTGCTAGTCCTTTTGTGTATGGTCATAACTTTCAAGAATAAAGTCAATAAAAGCAAACTGGCAATAAAAAGCCCCATGTCTAACTTCCTTCAACAGAAAACATTGCATGAACACTTTGTACCCTTGCAAAGTGCCATAATTAAGATAGTGGTTGACAGCCAATGTTTTTAAAAATATTCAGCTACAAAAATAGAGGCCTTTCCAGCACTTGGGAAATAGAGGTAGGCAGATCTCTGAGTTTTAGGAGGCCTGGTCTACATAGTAAATTACAGACCCAATCAAAGCTACAAAGCAAGGCCCTGTCTCAAAAACATTACACACACACACACACACACACACACACATACACACACACACTTGTTCCTACATATATTTGTTCTAATGTTCAGAAACATCTGAAGGGATAAAAATAGTCTGGTAGGCAGTAAGTTCCCTTACTCACTCTTCAGCTCTCTTGCCTAGTTTGTCGAATACCATACTCTCAGAAATACATTATCAGCCAACATTCGGGAAGGCAGACACAGAGACCTTTGTTAAATTTGCACTCACTCCTGAAACATCTCTATCGCCAGTAGTAGTCTTCACAGCTGAGTAGCCCTGTATTCTACCCAGGTGCCACCCAACTGTAGTTGTTTCCTCTGTTGAGAAAGGCTCTATGTGCTGTATGTGCTTTATGTGCTGTATGTGCTCTATGTGCTGTATGTGTTCTATGTGCTGTATGTGTTCTATGTGCTGTGTGTGTTCTATGTGCTGTAGTCCAGGCTGTCCTCAAGCTCCTGACACTTCCCCTGACTAAACCTCCCAAGTGCTAGAATCCCAGGTGATAAAACATCACATCTGATTTAACTTTTTATAAGTTCATTTCTAAAATACTATGTTCTTGGCCCACAAGTATTAGGGGATAGGAAATCTGTAATTTCTCCTAAGGCTTATTTCAAACAATGCAAACTTTAGAGCCATGAGTGAATAACAGCCATTTCAAAAGAAAACAATCCAATAAACTTTATAGTTAAAGCTGGGTTTGGTGGGAAACACTTTTAATATCAGCACTCTGAAGGCAGGTAGAGGCAGGCAGATCTCTGAATTCAAGGCCAGCCTGGACTACGTGAAGAGTTCCTGGACAGCCAGGACTATACAGTAAGCAATAAGTAAGTAAAAATAAACCTTACAGGTAAGGTAATTCCTCTAAAGAACTATAAGCGTATAGATAGAACATAAAAACTTAGCATTCTAGGGGCTGGAGAGATGGCTCAGTAGTTAAGGGCACTTATTGCTCTGGTATAGCGCCCAGGTTGGGTTCCCAGCACCCACATGATGGTTCACAACCATCTATCTCTCTAGATCTCTCTAGTTCCCCGGGATCTGACAAGTTCTTCTGACTTGAGGCCACGAGGCATACATGCGGTGCACATACATAAGTGCAGGCAAAACACTCTTACACATCAGGTGAGTCTTAAAAAATTTTTAAATAGTATCCTCTAACAGTTGCAACTAATAATGTGAAGATGTTATTTTTGTCCTAGAAAACACAATCACTGGTTACATTTCACACAAATGGCTGCAATCCTAAGAGCAAGGGGCCTGCGGTTAATTTAACAGCTTGAAAACAAGTAATACAATAGACTGTATTTGAAATTTAACAAAAAGGACAGGGGAAGGTGATTAACAAGTCATTTCCAGCACAGCCAAATACATTCCTGCAGAACTCTAGCTTAAATTCAGAGTGGTGCAGTTTGCCTGTAATCCTAACATTTGGAAGGGACGCACAGTGATCAAATTGACCATTCAGAACAGAATGGAGGCGAGCGCTTGGCCCCAGCCTCTTCTCCACACCCGGTGAGCACCTTAAAGCTCATAAGCCCACAATCAGTCCTCTTTAACGAAAAGTTATTCAAATAATCCTTTGCAAATGTTCTTGGATTGAACACTAACATTTTAATTAGTATTTATTCGTGTGCTGATCAAAAAAATTTTACTACTGGCAGGAAGCAGTGATGAAAACTTTTCCATCCAAATTTCTAACTATAAAGCCAGAAATCTATCATTGTCAAATGCTACAACGTTTTCCAACAAAGTTTTGAGGAACAAACTGCACTTCATATTTCTCAGTAGAGAAATACATGCGTCCACGCCAGCTTAATTCTAACAGTACAGTTTTAGGGCGACGAGCACTAGCAGGAACTTGTCTAACACCTTCGGACCTGTCCAAACACCCGTGAACTTCGGCAGGGGGTGGGGCGAGGGGGCGGAGTCGTGAAATCCAGTCCAGACGGAAAAAAACGAACTTACTCTGCCCAAGATTTCTTAAAGCCTTCTCCAAGCTCCAAAGGGAGGGCTGCTTTCCAAACAGTAAGACTTAACTAATCTCTTAGCCCAAGTGAAGCCAGAGATCAGACCAAAACACGTAAACACAAAATCGGGCGCAGCAGGGAGTCCCCGCCTCTTCCTCCAGAAGTCACTCAAACCAAAACAGTCTGACTAGCCGACGGCTGGGTCCTCCCCAAACCGCCGCGGCCTAGTGTCCGCCACTCTCGGGGCGCTCACTAGTCTCCTGCCCCGTAGACGCTCCCCCGGGTCCGCCGCGGCCTAGCTCGCCCGCTTCCGCCGCGCTTCCCACTCCACCGCCACCCCGAGCCCAGGCACACGTCACAATCGCGGCCCGGGAGAAACTTGTCCTTGGGAAGGAGAGCTTCGTCACCACGGAGACGGTTCCCAACACTAGCCAGGCCTAGGTTCCACGGTCGAGACGGGACGCGAGCGCCGGGTCCCCGGCCAGGCACGCGACCCTCCCGCAAGCCTTACCCGTCAGGGCCTCAGCCCGGCGCGCTCCGCCGCGCTCCGAAGATCAGCAGCCAAGGCCGCCGCCTCCCGGCATAAACCGGCTACACTGCCTCTAAGCCGAAAGCCGGCGTCACTTCCGCCCTAGGAACACCCGCTTCCGCCGCCACCTCTGCGCATGCTCCCTGAGGACACGCCCCACCCTCCCGCTGTGTGAGGCTCCTGGTGCTTTCCCTGACAGCTTGTCTCCCGGGACTTTCGCTCAGTTATGTAGTCATCACACAACACAGTCCGTTTAAGACAAGTTAATTGACTTGCCAGCGAGGCGGGAAGGATCGCCCAGAGGAGATCTGGGTCTTAAATATCAATCTGAGCCAATACATCTGCTTAAATATATAGAAAACCCCCAAGAATGGTTGGGGCGACCACGGAATGAATCATGTTCCTGTGTTGCCATAAAACTTACGACATTTACAGAATCACCAGCAAAGAAAGGATAACGGATTAAACATTAAAACAATAATACATAAAAATATGCTTTCATGTTCTTTCATTTTTCACATAATCCAAGTCCACATTGACTTCCACAAGACAGGTTCTTAACGTTCGCTGATTAACTAATTTCTTATATACTGAAATCTTTGAAGGTAGGGTTCTTACAGGAGACGCCATTCTGTTCCTCCAAAAGGAAAGCATGTTGAGATATAGGCAGTTGAAGCAAAAGTTATTTAGCAAAGTATTCCAAAGGGACGTAGTAGTACATTGAGTTTGACATTGTGGGATTTAGAGAAGTATTTAGGAATGAGGTAGGTAGTATATTCATGAAGTAAGGTAATTAATATTCCAACACAGGAATATGATGAATTTGAATAGAATATACTTGCTTCCATGGAGTTCCAATTCAAACCGAATATTTAACAGAGAAAGATAAACTAAGTCAAAAGTAATTTTAGAAATTAAAATTTAAATTATTTTCGCTTCCACATCATGATAGTCAAGTCTTCTATTTATTCCTGTGTTGCTCTAGCAAAACCCACAAGGGGAAATGGGTCGCAAAACCACAATTAATAATAATATAATGAAACTGAGATCTTTTGAGGTTCCAGACCCTTCATTTTAGTGCAGCTATGGGAAATGCCCTGGAGTCTTTATATATGTATATGTATATGTATATATACAAACAGGTTGCTTCTCAAATACATACATATATATTTATTTATTTCTCAAATATATTTTCAAATATATATATTTACTTCTCATATATATATTTGAGGAGCAACCTGTTTGTAGCCTCAAGAACATTTAAACCCCAAAGGGACATTCTGTCGGTTAGTAGACGGCTACCAAAATACAGGGGCAGGGTTTTGGTTTTGTTACTTCACTTGGAACCCCTTTTTGAGATTACTCAAGGTCACATGGTTGATCTCATGGCTGGTCGTGAGTTAAGACATTCTACTGGATGTCTTAACCCCAGGATGAAGACATTCTGTTATTTATAAACTTACACTTCATTAAGAAAACTGGGATCAGGGATTTACAATATTGAGTAGTACGAACAGGAATAGAGCTTGGGTTGTCTTTCAGTTTCCCTTCTCCCAATTCCACTGTCTCTATCATCTACCTGAACACCCTTACTCAATAGTCTTATGCTGTATATTGCACTTGATCCTAGAATTTCAAGAGAAATGTGTTGCATTAATCCTAGCCTCCTCATTTTACAATTGAAAAACATTGTGTAATCAACTTCTGCTAAAATTCCTTCCCCGGAAGAAGTAGACAATATATACCCCTCTTACAAGGTCCTAAAAGCAAATGGACAAACAGAGGCCTGATTCCACCAAAGCTCACTCTGAGAAACCAGTGAGTTTATTGAATGTACTTACAGAGAGCATAGGTGCAGGACTTACCTATGGGCTGTGGGTGCTCCTCCCCCGAAAGACTGCACCTGGAAGTCTTTGCTCACCTGGCATAATGGTTTTCCCTAGTGGCATAGATAGAGCTCCTCCATTCTACTCTTCGTCAGCCTATATACTCTAGCCCAGAGGTTCTCAACCAGTGGTTTGTGACTCCTTTGGGGGTCGCATATCAGATATCCTACATATCAGATATTTACATTATGAGTCATAACAGTAGCTAAATTATAGTTATGAAGTAGCAACAAAATAATTTTATCATTGGAGGTCACCACAACATGAGGAACTGTATTAAAGGGTTACAGCATTAGGAAGGTTGATGTTAGTTGCTGCCCAACTAATTCACTGGTTCCTGGAGAGAAGTGTGTGGATTGAGAAACTGCAGATTGAGAAACTGAAGAAATAACAGAGACACAAAAAATTCATCACAGGATAGATTCCAGAGCACTGCCAGTGAATACTGCAGCTTCAAGCTTCTTTTTCATAGCCCTTTTAAACCCCAAGTCAAAGGGGTGGGCAAAAAGACCTTTTTTTTTTTTTTTAATCATAGTACAAGGAACAAACAAGAGTTCGTAAATATCCAGTGCTACACCTTAGGCCAAACACCCTGTTATCTAGGCAAGACTTTCAACAACTTCACCTTAGGCCTGCTGTTTGACCTTGAAGGAGCAAAAACAAACTTGAACTCTAACCCTAAGTCAAGATGGAGCTGAGCCACTTCTATTGACTCCCTCAGGTTGAGAGCCACTGCCACTATCCCCTTGTTCCATTAGGCCAGAGCTGCAGACAGCAGCTGGTAGGGAGCAGCTGGATGCTCAGGTGAGGGTCTTCCAACCCCTCCATGAGAGGATACAGTCAAAAAACCCAGCTGTAATACTCCTTTTGCAAAAGGGCACAGTTGAACTCCCCAAGATGGCAGTTTCTTGGCTTACAAGGTGGTCATGAGCAACATCAACACAAGTAACTGATGGTATGAGAACCTGCAACGTAGTATCACGGGCACTAGGTAACTGGTCAGATATTAGCAGCCTTAAAGACTACTGAAGGTGGACTCCTCCTTCATAATTAGCAGCTCATAAAACGAAGAGTCAAAATGGCAGGCTTTTGACGACTGCTTAAAAGAATAGAATCTGGGGCTGGGGTTAAGCTCAGTTAGTAGAGTGGTTCTTTAGAATATCCTGCATAAGCAGGGTATACTGGGGCATGCCTATAATCCCAGCACTGTTGTCCGAGGCTGCTTGTTCATTTCCCGACTGCCCAGACTCCTGAAATAACCACGCAGAAACTGTATTAATTAAATCATTGCTTGGCCAGTCACTATAGCATATTCCTAGCAAGCTCTTACATATTAAATTAACCCATTTCTATTATTTGATATTTTACCTCGATGCTTGTGGCCTAGTGGCCAGGTTCTACCTGGCAGCTTGCATCTTTCCCCTCTGGCAGTTACATGGCATCTCCTGACTCTACCGTCTTTCTCCCAGCATTGAGTTTAGTTTTCCCTGCCTAGCTCTGTTCTGCCTTGCTACAGGCCAAAACAGTTTCTTTATTCATTAACCAATAAAAGCAACACATAGACAGAAGGACCTCTTACAGCACAGCACTCTAAAGGAAGACAGCAAAAGAATCAGAATTTTAAGATCATCTCCAACTACATAGTGAGCTCAAGGCTAGCAGGGCCTACATGTGATCTGGGCTACATCTCACATTGAATAGAGACATGATATTCTGAACTGTGCAAAGATCATAACACTCTTGTCTAGTCCAGACTTTCTGCTAAAGAACAAAGACTACCATTGTCCCCTCCCCTCCCTTAAAAGTTAATCTAAATGGACTTCTCAGTCACCTGGATAGGGTACCTTTTAGGAAAGATCAGCAGGTAAGAGCTCTTGCCAATCTTGCAGAAGACCAGAGTTCTGTTTCCAACATCCACATCTGGCAGCTCATGTCTGCCTATAACTGCCTGAATCCTGTGAGGCTTGGTCTTGGAAACCTGACTAGGGTCATTCAGTAAGGAAGAAATGACAGACACTGAAGAAACCATAGACACACACAGAAAAGCTGGGTGGGTTGTGCTATGCTGGCCCTGATGGAAGGTGCCTACTATACAACCTGGAATCTCAAGGACTTTATTACAGAGAACAAGAAGGGCTTACCAACTCACTGCAAAGATATTTTGTGTGTGTTTTAACAAAAAAAAGCTTGTCTGAAGATCAGAGTGCTGAGCTAAGCCACTAGAGGCCAGGCAGTGGTGACACACTTTTAATCCCAGGACTCGGGCGACAGAGGCAGAGAGATCTCCATTAGTTCAAGGCCAACCTGGGCTACATGAAATTGATTCAGTCAGTAAGAGAAACAAACAGAGCTCACACAAAAGTGATGCCAGCACTAGGGACATGGAGACAGGAGTGATGCAGCTGGGTGGAGAAAAGAATTGAAGGCGGGAGGAGACAGGAGTTCCGAGGAGCAGTGCAGTCTGAGGCAGTCAGTCTGAGGATGCAGTCTGAGGACAGGATCGCCCCTTCGGTCTGAGCATTGGTAGAGGTAAGAACTCTCTAGTGGCTAGCCACAGTGCTTCTCTGATCTTTCAGAATTTATTCCAATGTCTAACTCCAGGTTTTTATTATTAAGATCCATTAGAATTCACGTTACAGCTCATCTCTGTGGGAAGTCTCTGTACGGGAATAGTGTCAGCCTGAAATTCGAAACAACTCACTTTTGAAAAATAGTTTTAAAATATTAATTTTTAAAAATTCATTTGTTTTTATCTCATGTGTATGGGTGATTTCCGAGCCTGCTGTCCAGGGAGGCCCCCAGAGGGCATTGGATCCCTGGAAACTGGAGATACAGACAGTTGTGAGCACCATGTAGGTGCTAGGAATCCAACGTAGTCCTAATTTATTTTCTTTTTAAAAGAGAGAAAGAAAGGAAGGAAGGAAGGAAAGGAAGAATTGTTGAAGGGTCTGAAAAAAGTGGAAAGAGAAGAAATTAGTAATCGATTGCCATTCCAAAGATCAATCAGCGCCTCTCGGATCCACCCTTTGCACTTGAGTTCTCTTTTATCAGCTGGCAGTGTTAAACCGGCTAGAGCAGGTGGAAAGTGCTGGCCAGGCTCCAAGAGAAAGTATTCTACTTCCTGGTTCCTGTGCACTCCCTAAACAGACTCTTGCAGCATACGTGGCTTTTCCAATGTCCACATCTTACACT